ACCAGAAGGACCTTCTCAGCATCATGGTGCCACATAAAATCTGGATACCTTTGCATAATCTTGGGATTTGTGGGGAGCCCACCAACAAAGCAGATGGTGGTGGGGTTCTTGGTAACAGAAATAAAGAAAACAAAGACAAGCAATATTTCTTGAACATATTAATCTATAGATTGAAAAATCAGCCAGGCGTGGTGGCTCATGCCTGTAATCCTAGCACTTTGGGAGGCCGAGGCAGGCAGATCACTTGAGGTCAGGAGTTTGAGACCAGCCCAGCCAACATAGAGAAACCCCATCTCCACTGAAACCACAAAAATTAGCCAGGCATGGTGGCGGGCACCTGTAATCCCAGATACTGGGAGGCTGAGGCAGGAGAATCACTTGAACCTGGGGGACCGAGACTGTAATGAGCTGAGATGGCACCACTGCCCTCCAGCCTGGGTACAGAGCAAGACTCCTTCTCAAAAGAAGAAAAGAAAAGAGAAAAATCACACCAGCTGTATGTTTTTCTCTTGATATCTCAGGGTAGCAAAGCCAGGAAGGATCTGCTCCAGAAGGCTAGAGAGCAATTACTTACCCATGAAAAGTAGTATTTGGAGGCTCATTTTAGGGGCCAATACCAGGTAGTCCAGTACTAAAAGGTCTTCTTCTTATTATTATTATTTTTTTAATTTAGAGATGGGGTTTCTCCATGTTGGCCAGGCTGGTTTCGAACTCCTGATCTCAGGTGATCCGCCCACCTTGGCCTACCAAAGTGCTCGGATTACAGGCGTGAGCCACTGTGCCCAGCCTAGGTCTCCTTATTTCTATCCCTTTATATTTCTAATAGGAAATGAAACAGTAGACAACGGAGTCTAGTTTCTGTATTGCAGCTGGGGAAGAGACAGGAAGAGCAGAATCCATGAGCACAGTGAGTGAGTCAGAAAGTTAAGTACCCAAAATGTCAGTGAGGAGCTGAGGAACTCAGCACATGAGTGCTTCGAGCATACAGAAGGCTCAGCTGAATTCTGATTGGATTTGTCCTAAGCAAAGCATAAACCAGGGCCCTTTGAATGTACAGGACACAAAGTTCTTATAGTGTCTCTTATAGAATGAATTGGACTGAGTCTTTGGGGAAACAACTGCACCAGACAGTGGGAGCTAACTAACAGCAGGTGTGCCACACAGCACCGTGTCGTCCAAACTGTGGCTCTGCTTGGTTCTATCCTTACACAGTCAGTCTTCGGTTGTATGGCAGTTTGGTGGAGCAGGTAAATAGGTATCCTTTGCACAGGGGACCATGCTGGAATTCCATCTTCAAGAAACTTGAGGCCGGGTGCAGTGGCTCACACCTGTAATCCCAGCACTTTGGGAGGCCGAGATGGGTGGATCGCCTGAGGTCAGGAGTTCGGGACTAGCCTGACCAACGTAGTGAAACCCTGTCTCTACTAAAAATACAAAAAATTAGCCAGGCGTGGTGGCGGGCGCCTGTAATCCCAGCTACTCGGGAGGCTGATGCAGGAGAATCACTTGAACACAGGAGGCGGAGGTTGTGGTGAGCTGAGATCGTGCCATTGCACACCAACCTGGGCAACAAGAGCGAGACTCCAACTCAAAAAAAAAAAAAAAAAAAAAAAAAAAACACAAAGAAAGAAACTGGCACTTGTTACCCTTTTCAGGTAACTGGATCTCACCTCAACTCTACCTGGTACAAGTATAACTAAAATGGAGAGGAGAAGAGAAGTCTAGTTTGTATTCTTTTAGAATTCTAATCCCCAAATATTTGCCAGATATCAGTTACTTGGAAAACTTCCCTATAGAAAGAAGGCCTTACCCATTCACCCTGTTCCCAACTTACCATCACATTCCAGCAGACACAGAAAAGCTGATCAAAGGAAACTTTATTCCTGCTTTAGTTGGATGAGTCTCTCCTCTCTTCCTCTCCTTGTCACTGTTGCCCACATACTGTAGTTTGGAAGTAAGAAAAGAAGAAATTCTTTAAAATATCTCACTACTGGCCGGGCATGGTGGCTCATGCCTATAATCCAAGCACTTTGGGAGGCTGAGACGGGCGGATCACTTGAGGCCAGGCATTCAAGACCAGCCTGGCCAACATGGCCAGATGCCACCTCTACTAAAAATAAAAAAATTAGCTAGGGGCCTTCTTTTCCCGGTTCTTCCCAGAGTCAGGAAAAGCTGGGTTGAGAGGGCGAAAATAAAAAATAAAAATTAGCTGGGCATACTGTTATATGCCTATAATTCCAGCTACTCAGCAGGCTGAGGCATGAGAATTGCTTGTACCCAGGAGGTGGAGGTTGCAGTGAGCCAAGATTGTACCACTGTGCTCCAGCCTGAGTGACAGAGTGAGACTCCGTCTCAAAAGAAGAAGAAAAAAAAAAAAGCATAGAAAATATATGATTTAAATGTCTTCTTCTGGGTCAACTGTGTACCACACTGGCTTTTTTCCCCTAGAGACAGGGTCTGGCTACATCACCCAAGCTGGTCTTCAACTCCTAGCCGCGAACGATTCTCCCACCTTATCCTCCCACAGTGGTGGGATTACAGGGATGTGCCACCACACTTGGCTTCTCTCTCTCTCTCTCTATTTTATATATATATATGTATATATATTTTTTTAATTTAATTTTTTTATTTCTTTTGAGATGGAGTTTCCCTCTTGTTACCCAGGCTGGAGTGCAATGGTGCAATCTCGGCTCACCGCAACCTCCGCTTCCTGGGTTCAGGCAATTCTCCTGCCTCAGCCTCCTGAGTAGCTGGGATTACAGGCACACACCACCATGCCCAGCTAATTTTTTGTATTTTTAGTAGAGACGGGGTTTCACTATGTTGACCAGGATGGTCTCGATCTCTTGACCTCGTGATCCACCCACCTCGGCTTACCAAAGTGCTGGGATTACAGGCGTGAGCCACCGCACCTGGCCCTATATGTTTTTAAGGCCTCCCTTTTATGCTGCTTGATGAGCCTACATAAGATAAAGAAAGGCCAATGAAATCAGGAACTTTGCCTACCTTGCCAGAGTGGGAGAATAGTGAACGCTGAAGGTGCTGAAAACCTTCAAATAGTCTAGAATAGTGATTCTCAGCAGAGACAGTACTGCCTCCTCCTAGCCCCGGGAGCAATTAGGAAATAAGTGGGAGCATTTTTGGTTATCACAACTGGCAGCCATTATTGGCATTTAATGGGTGAGGAGTCAAAGACCCTAGACATCCTGAAAGGCACAGGGCAGTACCTCATAACAAAGAATTGTCTATCTCCTAATTTTCTTTCTTTTTTTTAAGATGGGGTTTCACCATGATAGCCAGGCTGGTCTTGAACTCCTGACCTCAGATAATCCACCCCCCTCGACCTCCCAAAGTGCTAGGGTTACAGGCGTGAGCCAACATGCCCGGCTATCTCCCGACTTTCAAACAGCTCTCCAGCCAGTGGTGTAGGTGAAGCACATTTATAATCATTTGAGCCTAGAGCCTAACTCAATTTATATGACTTTAATATACACAGAAATTTTCAGGAATTCAACCACTGTGTAAATCAAAGGAAAACTAAACTTTGTTTTATTTGGAAAATGTTCAAAGGTTGTTCACCATTTTGGAAAACAACATTGCCAGTGGCAATGGTATTCAAGTCATCAAAGCAACATATTCATATCAGTTAGCATTTCTAGTTTTTATACCTATGATGACTATGTATATGGGAGTGAACACTTGATTACTTCAATACGTCTTCTCATGTGGTAGAATCTGAGCATTTATATATTAAAACACTTAAAATTTTACTATGAACTCCTTTTATTTCCTCTATCATATTTATGGTATTATACTAATTTTGGTTGAAATGGTGTGGAATCATATGCAATTATCTACAAACTTCATTGAGTTATGGAGACATTACAAAATATTCGTTATAAATATACAAATACCTGTATAAACATTTGGTATAAAATATAAATATTTGTGGGCCGGGCGCGGTGGCTCAAGCCTGTAATCCCAGCACTTTGGGAGGCCGAGGCGGGTGGATCACGAGGTCGAGAGATCGAGACCATCCTGGTCAACATGGTGAAACCCCATCTCTACTAAAAGTACAAAAAATTAGCTGGGCATGGTGGCACGTGCCTGGAATCCCAGCTACTCAGGAGGCTGAGGCAGGAGAATTGCCTGAACCCAGGAAGCGGAGGTTGCGGTGAGCCGAGATCGCGCCATTGCACTCCAGCCTGGGTAACAAGAGCGAAACTCCGTCTCAAAAACAAAAAAAAAAACAAACAAACAAACAAAAAAAAAAATATATATATATATATATATAAATATTTGTTATAAAATGGGGCATTCAGTCTGATGAGGCTGAGAATCACTGCAGTATATGCTTCCTACAACTTTTCTGATTATCAACAAGTCTTAGAAATTTCTGCATATGTAGCATGGGCACACCATAGTCTATTCATACATTTCCTGTTAATAGACATATAGGTTATTTCTAATTTGTGCTGTTAGAAACAATGAATAATATGAAATCTTCTGACATGCATCTTTTTTTTTTTTTTTTTTTGAGACGGAGTTTCGCTCTTGTTACCCAGGCTGGAATGCAATGGCGCGATCTCGGCTCACCGCAACCTCCGCCTCCTGGGTTCAGGCAATTCTCCTGCCTCAGTCTCCTGAGTAGTTGGGATTACAGGCACGCGCCACCATGCCCAGCTAATTTTTTGTATTTTTAGTAGAGACGGGGTTTCACCATGTTGACCAGGATGGTCTCGATCTCTCGACCTCGTGATCCACCCGCCTCGGCCTCCCAAAGTGCTGGGATTACAGGCTTGAGCCACCGCGCCCGGCCTGACATGCATCTTTGTGCACATGTGCAAGTATTTCTCAGGGGTAGATATTAAGATGTGAAAGTGCCACATCAAGAGTTTTAATATTTGTATATCTTTGGAGATAAAAATGTTTTCTCATTTCAAGTTGCATTTCCCTAACACTAGTCAAGCTGAACACCTTTTCAAATGTTTTTTTGGCCATGCTGTTGCCTTGGCTGGTCAACAATTCAAATTTTTGTCATTTTGGGGAGAATTGATTTGTAATTGATTCATGTATTCTGACCACAATTTTTAAAATACATATGTTGGAAATCACTTTCTCCTAGTCTGTTGCCTACCTTTTAACTTTTGTCAAAGAGAAGTTTTAAATTTTGATATAGTAAAATTTATCATGTTATTTGTTTTTGGCCTCCTCAAAGAGGCTTTCTCTACCTCTAGACATAGATTTCGACAGGTGTATAATACTCCATTTTATGGTTATACCATAATTTATAATATTCTTTTTCACTATTGGAAATTTAGCTTTTTCAAACAACTAAGTGTTCAACATGATGTTTTTAGCATGCATCTTAGTGCCTAGCAAACGGAGCATAATACTTAAATGTTTCTAAAGACAGGAAACTTTTTCCACACTCACATTCATGGTATGTTTAAAAATGCAACCCTATGTCAACCAAATTACTGGGAATTAACCCTACAATGATACTCTTACTTTAGCCAGCTAATCAAGACTTGATTCTGCTTCTAAAATCTAGGCACACAAGTAAAGCTTCACCTTACCCCATAAGATTGCTCTTCCAAAGGGTGGAATGACTACCTGCGAGAAGCCTGCCATCACATACCTGAGTCCTCCTCCTTATCCTGACTTCAATTTTAGGGTACCTCTCTGCTTGGTGAGTCTTCAACGTTTACATCTAAGAAGCTTAAGAGCGGACCTGAGAAGAGGAGGGAGAGGGAAGAGAAGCCTCATTTTCAGGAGTTTGGGCTGCTGCAGATTCGTGAGGCCTGGCTCCAGATCCAGCAGGTTCGGCTCCGTATCCAGGAGGTGTGGCTCCATATCCCGCAGGTGAGGCTCTGTATCCCACACGTGGGTCTTCATTTCCTGCAGGTGGAGCTCCGTATCCAGGAGGTGGGGCTCCATATACTACTGCAGAAGGGGCTCTGTATCCAGGAGGCGGGGCTTCATATCCTGCAGGCAGGGCTGCATATCCTGGAGGTGGGGCTCCATATCCTGCAGGTGGAGCTCCATATCCAGGAGGTGAGGTTCCATATCCCCCAGGTGGGGCTCCATATCTGGGAGGTGGGGCTCCATAGACAATAACTGGGAATTATAATGAGAAGGAAAAAAAAATCAGTCACCTGGAAGTCAAAGAATATGTGAGAAAGAAGAACTTAAAAAATAATGCTGAAGTAAACTGACACAAGAAGAGAAGTCAGGCAGAATAATGCTAAAACTATTTCCTCTGTAATCCCAGCACTTTGGGAGGCCGAGGCGGGTGGATCACGAGGTCAAGAGATTGAGACCATCCGGTCAACATAGTGAAACCCCGTCTCTACTAAAAATACAAAAAATTAGCTGGGCATGGTGGCGCGTGCCTATAATCCCAGCTACTCAGGAGGCTGAGGCAGGAGAATTGCCTGAACCCAGGAGGCGGAGGTTGCGGTGAGCCAAGATCGCGCCATTGCACTCCAGCCTGGGTAACAAGAGTGAAACTCCGTCTCAAAAAAAAAAAAAAAAAAAAAACTATTTCCTCCAGCCATCACCAGTTGAAGGCATATCACCTCCTGTTGTGTGGTGATTTCAAATCAACATGAAAACAACCCTATGAATAGATCAGTTCATTACTTATACTTGTGCACAGATACATATTTTACTTAATACAGTTTGATTATGAAAAAAAGTAATACATGCTTAATGAGGAATATGCGTTTGGAAAATGGAGAAAGAGGAATGGAAAGTCATCTATAATTCCATCACCAAACACTTAATATTTTGGTGTATTTCTTTGTAGAATCTCTGTGAATATTCTTTATACAATCATCATCATATCAACCATATGATTTTTAAAATTTGGCTCTTTTACTTAATGTTATAAGAAATGTCTTTATATTGTTAATTTACTTCATAAATTAAAAACATTTGTGTTGGGCTGCATTCAAAGCCATCCTGGGCCATGGGTTGGACAAGCTTGATATAAGAGCTAAAACTATAAAATCCTTAGAAGAAAACATAGGGATAAATCATTATGACATTGGATTTGGCAATGAATTTTAAATTTTACATCAAAAGCATGAGGAACAAGAGAAAAAAGAAAAACGTGATAAAAATTAAAAACCCTTGTGCATTAAAAGTCATTTTTGGGCCGGGCGCGGTGGCTCAAGCCTGTAATCCCAGCACTTTGGGAGGCCGAGGCGGGTGGATCACGAGGTCAAGAGATCGAGACCATCCTGGTCAACATGGTGAAACCCCGTCTCTACTAAAAATACAAAACAATTAGCTGGGCATGGTGGCACGTGCCTGTAATCCCAGCTACTCAGGAGGCTGAGGCAGGAGAATTGCCTGAACCCAGGAGGCGAAGGTTGCGGTGAGCCGAGATCGTGCCATTGCATTCCAGCCTGGGTAACAAGAGTGAAACTCCGCCTCAAAAAAAAATAAAAAATAAAAAAAATAAAATAAAAAATAAAAGTCATTTTTGCCTGGGCACGGTGGTTCATAACTGTAACCCACCAGCTGAGGCAGGTAGATCACTTGAGCTCAGTTCTAGACCAGCCTGAGCAACATGGTGAAACTCCATCTCTAATTAAAAAAAAAAAAAAAAAAAAAAAAAAAAGTGTTAGCTGTGCATCATGGCACACACCTGCAGTCCCAGCTATTTGGGAGGCTGAGGCACAAGAATCACTTGAACCTGGGAGGCAGAGGTTGCAGTGAGCCAAGACAGTGCCACTACCCTCCAGCCAGGGTGACTCTGTCTCAAAAAAAAAAGTCATTATTGGCTGGTGTGGTGGCTCATGCCTGTAATTCAAGCACTTCGGAGGCCAAGGTGGGCGGATCACCTGAGGTTGGGAGTTCAAGACCAGCCTGACCAACATGGTGAAACCCGTCTTAAAAAAAAAGTTCAGCCGGGTGCGGTGGCTCATGCCTGTAATCCCAGCACTTTGGGAGGCCGAGGCAGGTGGATCACAAGGTCAAGAGATCAAGACCATCCTGGTCAACATGGTGAAACCCCATCTCTACTAAAAATACAAAAAATTAGCTGGGCTTGGTGGCGTGTGCCTGTAGTCCCAGCTATTCGGGAGACTGAGGCAGGAGAATTGCCTGAACCCAGGAGGCAGAGGTTGCGGTGAGCCGAGATTGCGCCATTGCACTCCAGCCTGGGTAACAAGAGCGAAACTCCGTCTCAAAAAAAAAAAAAGTTCAAAAAAAAAAAAGCAAGCCGGGCGCAGTGGCTCAAGCCTGTAATCCCAGCACTTTGGGAGGCTGAGGTGGGTGGATCACGAGGTCAAGAGATCGAGACCATCTCGGTCAACATGGTGAAACCCCGTCTCTACTAAAAATACAAAAAATTAGCTGGGCATGGTGGCGTGTGCCTGTAATCCCAGCTACTCAGGAGGCTGAGGCAGGAGAGTTGCCTGAACCCAGGAGGCGGAGGTTGCGGTGAGCCGAGATCGCGCCATTGCACTCCAGCCTGGGTAACAAGAGCAAAACTCCGTCTCAAAAAAAAAAAAAAGAAAAAAAAAAAAGCAATATTAAGAAGGTGAATGAAGGCCGGGCGCGGTGGCTCACGCCTGTAATCCCAGCACTTTGGGAAGCCCAGTCAGGTGGATCATGAGGTCAAGAGATCGAGACCATCCTGGCCAACATGGTGAAACCCCATCTCTACTAAAAATACAAAAAATATTAGCTGGGCGTAGTGGCGCGCGTCTGTAGTGCCAGCTACTTGGAAGGCCGAGGCAGGAGAACTGCTTGAACCCGGGAGGTGGAAGTTGCAGTGAGCCAAGGTCGTCAATGCACTTTAGCCTGGTGCCTGGTGATGGAGTAAGACTCTGTCTCAAAAAAAAAAAAAAAAAAAAATGTGAATGAAAACCAAAAAATATTTGCAAATAATGTATCTGACAAGGATTTCATGTCCAGACTATATAAAGAATGCTTATACTCAACAACAAAAAGACAAGGAATCCGATTTAAAGAAAAAAAAATAGGCAAAGGACTTAAACGGACATTTCTCTAATGAAGGTATACGAAAAGCCAAAAAGCAAATAAAAAGATGTTCAACATCATTAGTCATTAAGGAAATGCAAATTAAAACCACAATGAGTCTCTGAAATTCCTGTCTCCACAAAAACACATAAAAATTAGCTGAGCATGGTGGATTGCACTTGTGGTCCTAGCCTACTATGGTTGTGGGGCGCTGAGGTGGGAGGATTGCTTGAGCCCAGGAGGTTGAGGCTGCAGGGAGCCATGATAGTACCACTGCACTATAGTCTGTTGACAAAGGAAGGCCTTGTCTGAAAAAATAAAAACAAAAAAAACTTTTCAAACTAGAGAGAGCTTGGAGATGCATAATATTGTGAATACATCAAATACTGCTAAATTTTACACTAAATAACTGTACACTTGGCTGGGCGCGGTGGCTCAAGCCTGTAATCCCAGCACTTTGGGAGGCCAAGGCGGGTGGATCATGAGGTCGAGAGATCGAGACCATCCTGGTCAACATGGTGAAACCCCGTCTCTACTAAAAACACAAAAAATTAGCTGGGCATGGTGGCGCCTGCCTGTAATCCCAGCTACTCAGGAGGCTGAGGCAGGAGAATTGCCTGAACCCAGGAGGCGGAGGTTGCGGTGAGCCGAGATCGCGCCATTGCACTCCAGCCTGAGTAACAAGAGCGAAACTCCGTCTCAAAAAAAAAAAAAAAAAACTGTACACTTTAAAACGTTAATTATATGTTATGTGAGTTTCACCTCAAACTTTAAAAATGTTAAATGCTAGCAAAACTTACTTTAGATTCTGAATATTAGATTTTAGTAGCCTTTAAAAACCAAGGTAACTCCTAAGTTTTCAAGTAAGTAGCCTTTAAGTTACAAACAAAACTAAAAGCCCATGGACATGCATATCATTTTCCAAGGAGAACTCAAGAGAAGTCACATATTTTTGGGTGTGTTGGCAGCATTAGGAGACCCTTTGTGGCCTACCAGTAGGCAGTGGACCACATTTGAGAATTACTTCCCAGAAACCCCATTCAGTAGCAGTGGACTTTAACAGCACAACTGTTAAAGTGCCCAGGGCTAGAGTCCTCAGTGAGGTTGAAGGGTGTGGCACAGGCATGATGACTATGCTTTGTGAAATGGAAATGAGGAAGTGGGCAAGAGCATATTTTTCTGCTCAGGCTATAAACAGGAAGTGACCCTTTCCACTAACAGGAGTTGCTCAAGTATGTTCCAGGTTTAAATATATCATTAAAAGTAAGCCTGAGGCCGGGCTTGGTGGTTCAAGCCTGTAATCCCAGCACTTTGTGAGGGCAGATCACCTGAGGTCAGGAGTTCAAGACTAGTCTGACCAACATGGAGAAACTCCATGTCTACTAAAAATGCAAAATTAGCCAGGTATGGTGGTACACGATTTGGGAAGCTAAGGCAGGAGAATCACTTGAACTCGGGAGGCAGAGGTTACAGTGAGCCAAGATTATGCCATTGCACTCCAACCTGGGAAACAAAAGCAAAACTCCAACTCAAAAACAAAAAAAAGAAAGTAAGCCTGAAACCAAAGCCCCAGTCACTTGCTGAGTTTGCCACTGGGTTTCAATCAGGAAACAAAGTCACAGACGTGACCATTTTCCAGCCCCCCTAAATCTCTGCTGCTTCTCCTGCAGGGGAGCTGGAGGCAAGCCTGCAGTGGATAGATCTTTGAACCACTGGCAGTTTCCTACCTTTCAGGAAGAACCTCTCTGCCATACCTTACCTGAACAAGGCATCTGTGGAGTGCATACATTCCCTTCTCCAGTAATTACATAAATTCTTGTAGAGCTAAACCAGTCATTTAAGGTTCTAAGTGGAAATCCTCGGGCAGCTGGGAAGACAAGTTTGGCAAAATAGGAGCTCTTTTAATTCAGAGGTATAGCAGGTATCAACTGAACAATTAACAGAGTATTTAGGGCCTGGCGCGGTGGCTCAAGCCTGTAATCCCAGCACTTTGGGAGGCCGAGGCGGGTGGATCACGAGGTCGAGAGATCGAGACCATCCTGGTCAACATGGTGAAACCCCGTCTCTACTAAAAATACAAAAAACTAGCTGGGCATGGTGGCGCATGCCTGTAATCCCAGCTACTCAGGAGGCTGAGACAGGAGAATTGCCTGAGCCCAGGAGGCGGAGGTTGCGGTGAGCCGAGATCGAGCCATTGCACTCCAGCCTGGGGAACAAGAGCGAAACTCCGTCTCAAAAAAAAAAAAAAAAAAAAAAAAACCAGAGTATTTAATAACCATCTTGCATGTGTTTCCAACAATGCTTTTGAGATACAAGATAAAAAAGAAACATGGGCTGGGTGCAGTAGCTCACACCTGTAATCCCAACACTTTGAGAGGCCAAGGTGGGAGGATTGCTTGACCCTAGTAGTTCAAGACAGCCTGGGCAACATGGCAAGACCCTATCTCTACAAAAAATTATTTTTAAATTAGCTAGGCACAGTGGTACATGTCTGTGGTCCCAGCTACTCAGGAAGGTTAGGCGGGAGGATTGCCTGAACCTGAGAGTTTGAGGCTGCAGTGAGTTGTGATTGTGCCACTGCACTGCAGCCTCCAGCCTGGGCAAAAGAGCAACACCTTGTCTCAAAAAAAGAAAAGAAAAGAAGAGAAAAGAAAAACAATATGACCCTTGTCCTGAATGACATGTTTCTTATGGGAAGAGATTGTATCTCATTTGCCTATGTTTATTCCAGGCCTAGCATAACACCTATCATAATAGATATTCAGAAAAAACTTCCAAGTGAGGATTCTACCAAATTGGTAAGACATCCACTAAAGACCAATGTAAGGCAGTGTGGTACAGAAGAAAACACTTTTGTCTTCTCTTCCCTCTGCATCTCATGAGAACACTTGTGATGGCATTTGGGGCAATTTAATAGGGTAATCTTGTCATCTCAAGATCCTTAAATTAATTATATCTACAAATACCCTTTTTATAAATAAGGTAACATTCACAGGTTCTGAGGAGTGGGACTGTGGATCCATTATCAGCCTATCACACTGAGTTCTGGCCTATGGCATGTGACCAGAAGTAAGGTACACAGTTTCCAGGCCTAGCCCATAAAAGCTTCCCAAGGGAGATCTTTACTTTATTCCCTTCTCTACTGGCTGTACAAAGAGGCCATGGAAGCCATGGGTTAAAGACACCAAGGACTAGCTGGGTACAGTGGCTCACACCTGTGATCCCAGCACTTTGGGAAGCCAAGGCAGGTGGATCTCCTGAAGTCAGGAGTTCGAGACCAGACTGACCAACATAGTGAAACCCCGTCTCTACTAAAAATACAAAAATTAGCTGGGTGTGGTAGCAGACACCTGTAATCCCAGATAGTTGGGAAGCTGAGGCAGGAGAAATGCTTGAACCCGGGAGGTGGAGGTTGCAGTGAGTTGAAACTGCACCACTGTACTCCAGCCTGGGCAGTAAGGGTAAAACTCTGTCTCAAAAAAAAAAAAAAAAAAAGATAGCAAGGACCCTATTACCCTGGGTCGATGAATAACTGTGGAACAGAGCCTCCTCTTGCCCCTGCTAATTGGTCTTCATTAAGCAGTAATCTACTGTCTTCAGCATTGATAATCTGGGGTTTATCTGTTTCAGCAGCTAGGATTATTCTAACTAATTCACTATAAATCTAAAGTTGCCCCTCTTCCCTCATCACCCTTGAGGACCCTCTGTGTCCTTTATGGTAATTCCAACAATAACTATTTTATTCACTTACAATTTTGCTTTTTATATGACTCTCACTAGACTGTAAGTTTATAAAGACCATGTGTGTCTTATTCACTGTTGTGTTCCCAGTTGTCTCACAATTGGGAATTTGGCTCACAATAGGTACTCAACGTACATATGTTAAAAACATAAATCAAAGAGCCCTGACATATCAACTCTGCAGAGGGAAAGGGAATCTTTCCTGGTCAAAGAATCAGATCATAAAGAATGATTAACAGTTAACTCCAAGGGCCTCAAGGACATCTATCTCACAAGCCCTGGCTCTTGTGGGGGCAGGTGGAGGAGGGGAAGAGGTTTCCCACATCTAAGCCGTGGTATAATCAGAAGACTCAGAGTAGTTCCACACATTGGACAAGTTCATGTAAGTTGCCTAAACCCTTTTCAAGTGGCTATGCAACTGCTGAGATGCTGAACCTTCTTGGCTAGCATTGCAGGCCAAGAAGTAGATCTTAGGTGAGAGTACCAAGAACCTTAAAAGTTGCCTGACCCTTTTTTTTTTTTTTTTTTTTAAGATGTAGTTTCGCTCTTGTTACCCAAGCTGGACTGCAATGGCGTGATCGCGGCTCACCGTAACCTCCACCTCTTGGGTTCAGCCAATTCTCCTGCCTCAGCCTCCTGAGTAGCTGGGATTACAGGCACGCGCCACCATGCCCAGCTAATTTTTTTTTTGTATTTTTAGTACAGATGGAGTTTCACCATGTTGACCAGGATGGTCTCGATCTCTTGACCTCGTGATCCACCCGCCTCGGCCTCCCAAAGTGCTGGGATTACAGGCTTGAGCCACCACGCCCGGCCCAAGTTGCCTGACCCTTAGCCCATAATCCTAAAAAAGAAGCCCTCTTCAGTACTATGGGGCCAAAAATAAGAGTGAATTCAAGATTCAGTATGCTACAGTTCTGAGTTCCCCAGATGTCTGTAGCAAAGAAGTACTAGACTTCCAAGTGTCCTCTGTCTCTGGATTTCCATAGCTGTACTCCTCTGTCAGGATACCCTGTAATCCATTTAAGGCTTCCAGATGCTCCCTGCACTCCAGACTACCAAACAGCTGTGGTTTACGTACAGCTTGTAAACTTCTTGGTTTCTTTATCTTTGCACTGTATAATCAAAGGTAACTGGAAAATTTTTTTTTTTTTTACTTTTTTTTTTTTTTTTTTTTCAAGACAGAGTTTCGCTCTTGTTACCCAGGTTGGAGTGCAATGGCGCGATCTCGGCTCACCACAACCTCTGCCTCCTGGGTTCAGGCAATTCTGCCTCAGCCTCCTGAGTAGCTGGGATTACAGGCATGCGCCACCATGCCCAGCTAATTTTTTGTATTTTTAGTAGAGACGGGGTTTCACCATGTTGACCAGGATGGTCTCGATCTCTTGACCTCGTGATCTACCCGCCTCAGCCTCCCAAAGTGCTGGGATTACAGGCTTGAGCCACTGCGCCCGGCATTTTTTTTTTAACTTCTTAACCTCCTGGTATATGGCTCTTCCACTACCTTTCTTCTCCAGCATTTCACGGAAATTTCTCTTGCTACCATAAACAAACTCTAATTACCACAAACAATGCACACTTTTCAGTCTTCATTTTACCAAACACATCTAGAACAGCTGATATGTATGACCACCCCATATCTCTTGTAACTTTCTCCTCCATTGACTTTTGGTGTATTAAACTCACTTGATTCTCCTCATTTGTCTCCAGTCAGTCCCTTTTCAATCTTTGCAGATCACTAATTCCTTTCCCTTCCCTTAAATGTCAGGAACTCTATCCTCAAATCACTGAGGAAGCCCATCATTCACATGACTCCAGAGACAACCTGTGTGCTGAGGATTTCCAAATCAGACACAGCTCATCTCCGGAGCTCCAAGCTGCATGTCCAGTGGCCTCCCCATGTACCTCACACTTAATATGGTATAGGGGTCAACAGTATAGGCTCAAAAAGACACATCACTTACGTAGTATTCCTGTCAAAATGCATGGCCTGAATATAATCATGAGAACCCAGACAAACTCAAATGAAGGGATATTCCACAAAACAATAAGTCTACATTCTTTTAAAAATGTCAATTTCATGAAAGACAAAGAAAGGCTGGGTTCCAGATTAAAGTAGACAGAAGAAATAAGTAAATTCAATGCGTGATCCAGAATTAGATCCTGGAGTCGGGTAAACAGTGCTATTAGAATGAGGAACAGTAGCCGGGCGCGGTGGCTCAAGCCTGTAATCCCAGCACTTTGGGAGGCCGAGGCGGGTGGATCACAAGGTCAAGAGATCGAGACCATCCTGGCCAACATGGTGAAACCCCGTCTCTACTAAAAATACAAAAAATTAGCTGGGCATGGTGGCGCGTGCCTGTAATCCCAGCTACTCAGGAGGCTGAGGCAGGAGAATTGCCTGAAGCCAGGAGGCGGAGGTTGCGGTGAGCCGAGATCGTGCCATTGCACTCCAGCCTGGGTAACAAGAACGAAACTCCGTCTCAAAAAAAAAAAAAAAAAAAAAAAAAAAGAATGAGGAACAGTAACAGGACAATCATTTGAATTTGAATATAAACTTTATATTTTGATTGTTTTTTGAGATAGAGTCTTGCCGGGCGCGGTGGCTCAAGCCTGTAATCCCAGCACTTTGGGAGGCCGAGGCGGGTGGATCACGAGGTCGAGAGTTCGAGACCATCCTGGTCAACATGGTGAAACCCCGTCTCTACTAAAAATACAAAAAATCAGCTGGGCATGGTGGCGCGTGCCTGTAATCCCAGCTACTCAGGAGGCTGAGGCAGGAGAATTGCCTGAACCCAGGAGGCGGAGGTTGCGGTGAGCCGAGATCGCGCCATTGCACTCCAGCCTGGGTAACAAGAACGAAACTCCGTCTCAAAAAAAAAAAAAAAAAAAAAAAAAAAAGAATGAGGAACAGTAACAGGACAATCATTTGAATTTGAATATAAACTTTATATTTTGATTGTTTTTTGAGATAGAGTCTTGCCGGGCGCAGTGGCTCAAGCCTGTAATCCCAGCACTTTGGGAGGCCGAGGCGGGTGGATCACGAGGTCGAGAGTTCGAGACCATCCTGGTCAACATGGTGAAACCCCGTCTCTACTAAAAATACAAAAAATCAGCTGGGCATGGTGGCGCGTGCCTGTAATCCCAGCTACTCAGGAGGCTGAGGCAGGAGAATTGCCTGAACCCAGGAGGCGGAGGTTGCGGTGAGCCGAGATCGCGCCATTGCACTCCAGCCTGGGTAACAAGAGCGAAACTCCGTCTCAAAAAAAAAAAAAAAAAAAGAGATAGAGTCTCACTCTGTTGCCAGGCTGGAGTGCAGTGGTGCAATCTCGGCTCACTGCAACCTCCAGGTTCAAGCGATTTTCCTGACTCAGCCCCCTGAGTAGCTGGGACCACAGGCATTCAACACCATGCCCAGCTAATTTTTATATTTAGAAGAGACAGGTTTCACCATGTTGGCCAGGATGGTCTCGATCTCTTGACCTCGTGATCCACCCACCTTGGCCTCCAAAAGTGCTGGGATTACAGGTGTGAGGTCCCCTCCACCTTTTTTTTTTTTTTTTTTTTTTTTTTTGAGACAGTTTTGCTCTTGTTGTACAGTGGCATGATCTTGGCTCATTGCAACCTCTGCCTCCTGGGTTCAAGCAATTCTTGTGCCACAGCCTCCCAAGTAGCTGGGACTATAGGCATACGCCACCATGCCTAGCTGTTTTTTGTATTTTTGTAGAGATGAGGTTTCACCACGTTGGCCAGGCTAGTCTCAAACTCCTGACCTCAAGTGATCTGCCCGCCTCGGCCTCCCAGAGTGCTGGGATTACAGGCATGAGCCACTGTGCCCAGCTGAATATAAACTATATATTAAATAACAATATTATATCAATGTTTAATTTTCTGAATTTGATAAGTACACTGAGGTTAGATGAAAGGATACCCGCATCCTTAGGAGAAACACACTTGAATACTTAGAAATGAAGAAAATAATCTTTGTGACTTACTCCCAAATAGTTCAGCAAGAACAAAAGCAGAAAAAGAATAATAAAGAGCAAATACAGGAAAATGCTAACACTGGGTGAGTCTAGATGAAGGGAGCTGACTGCAGTATTCTTACAACTTTTCCATAGATCTGATTTGTTTTAATAAGAAAAGACTTAAAAAGAAGAGAAAGTAGGTTTAGAGTTCAAATCCCAGCTACATCACTTGCTAACTATATAGCCTTGGGAAATTATATACCACCGCTGACTCAGTTTCCCCAGCTATAAACTGGGGATAATAATAGTACCTACATCATAAGATTTTTGCAAGGATTAAAAAAATTGACACATGTAAAGGGCTTTGAACACTGCTGAGTATACAGTAAACATTTCAATATATGTCAGCCAATGTTTTGTCTAAAATTGAATTCATTTCTTCTTCAACTTAGACTGCCTCTTATATTCTTTTTTTTTTTTTTTTGAGATAGAGTCTTACTCTGTTGCCCAGGCTAGAGTACGTGGCATGATTTCGGCTCATTGCAACCTCTGCCTCCTTGGTTCAAGTGATCCTCCTGCCTCAGCTTTCCAAGTAGCTGGGACTACAGGTGTACACCATCACACCCAGTTAATTTTTGTATTTTTAGTAGAGACAAGGTGTCGCCATGTTGGCCAGGCTGAGCTCAAACTCTTGACTTCAGGTGATCCGCCCATCTCGGCCTCCCAAAGTGCTGGGATTGTACGCGTGAGCCACCAGGCCTAGCCTGTCTCTTATATTTTTGACCATGGTTTATAGCATCCCAATCCATTAAGTCTTCTAAGCTACAAAGTTTATACTCCATTCTCTGTGTGTCCCCAGCACTTTGTCATGTCTTTATTACAGCATATTCCATGAGATATAATAGTGTATCTGCCTATGTCTGTCTCTACTAGAGCATGTTTGTCTCAACTAAGTTGAAGTTGGGGGTGAGTGGCAGGGAGAAAGGAGAAGAGCATTCCAGACACAAAAAAATAGCATGAAGGCGCAGAGATGAGAGAAAATAAAGTACAAAAAAGTCCAGTTTGATTGGAGCATAAAAGGTAAGAAAGTGAGGGGCATGAAGTGAGGCTAGATTAAATAAAAATATATCACAGCTGGGCGAGGTGGCTCATGCCTGTAATCCCAACACTTTGGGAGGTTGAGGCAGGTGGATCACCTGAGGTCAGGAGTTTGAGGTCAGCCTGGCCAACACGGTGAAACCTCATCTCTACTAAAAATACAAAAATTAGCTGGGTGTGGTGGCAGGCACCTGTAATTCCAGCTATTCAGGAGGCTGAAGCAGGAGAATGGCTTGAACCTAGGAGGCAGAGGTTGCAGTGAGCCAAAATCGTGCCATTGGACTCCAGCCTGGGTGACAGAGCAAGACTACCTCTCAACAATAACAACAACAACAAACAACAACAACAACAAAAGTATATATATATATAATTACATTATATATATATATATATATATATATATATATATATATATATACACACACAAATGATTTTTAGTCAAAGTTTGAAAGAGTTCTCCCATCCAAGTACTAACCAGGCCAGAGACCCTGCTTTGCTTTCGAGATCTGACGAGATCGGGCGCGTTCAGGGTAGTATGGCCGTAGACGAAAGAGTTCTCTAATATACCCATTAGATTAGTGCTATAAGTCTTGACAGTACCTCTACTTCCCCCTCATATAAAATGGGGACCAAAAAAAAAAAAAAAGATGGGGACTAAACCTGAGCAAAGCAAAGGCAAGTCCAGAGAGAAGAAAAAGTAAAAAACCAGATCAAAGGAAGAGTAACTAAGGGCTCCCTGACCCAAAGAAGAGACCTCTCAGTGGATATCTGAGGTCAGTGTTTAAATGGACAAAAGACTATCAGATATAGTCACTTGGGTGTCTGACTGTAAGCTCCCACTAGATTACCAGCTCCCTCAGGACAGAAAGGGACTGAATAATCTTTGTGTTCCTATCCTGTAACATGGTATTTAGCAACTGTAGGTAAGCCCAGAAAATGCCTACTGAATATGTGTGCAAATACCAACTGCCTGGCCACAGAGGCCAGCAAATCTTGGCTGAGTTACTCCACTTTAATTCCACAAGCCTTGAAACCCAAAGTGGGCCAGGCACAGTGGCTCACGCCTATAATCCCAGCACTTTGGGAGGCTAAGACAGAGGATCACTTGAGCTCAGGAGTTCAAAACCAGCCTGGTAACATGGTAAAAACCTGACTTACAAAAAATACAAAAATCTCTTTCTCAAAAACAACAAAACAGTAACACCAGCAACAACAACAAAACCCAAACAAACAAAAAACCCCAAAGTGCTTAATATCTTTATCAGCATCACTCACCAGCAGAGGCAGCTTTCACCATCAAGTGGGCAAATTCAATGGCACCTCCGTTTCTGAAGACTAATTTAAAAGTAGCTTGTCCTTCCCAGCCACCTGGGGGAAGAAATAGCACACACTCACTAAGAAACTGGCACAGATGACAACAGAAAGACTGCCACAAACACCAAGGGAAGCACTACCAGACAAAACAGGGCAGCTTTGGTTTGAATTTCAACATGAGCCAAATTTGAATCTTAAATATTCCAGAAGGTTTTGAGGAAAAAAGACACACGCTTCTGAAGGAATACTTACCATCTGGAGCTGCCCGAATACTTCCCTTAATGAAGTTTGCAGCAAATACTGGTTGTTCAACAGTGAGGTTTGTCATCAGATCAAATGGCATCATAAAAGACAACATGGGATCGTTGATGGAGTGCGAAGTTATGAAAATCACCTAAACAAGGAAAGAAACTTTGGAAAAGGAATGCAGAATTGGTCCATGCATTGAGACTTACAAGAGCAAGGTACATTCCGGCATAATTGAGAAACATCATCATTTCTTCCATCACTCCTCAACATGGAAAATCCCAAAATACAAACGTTTAAATACACTTTGATTGGGATACCAAGGCGGGTAGATCACCTGAGGTCTGGAAGTTCAAGACTAGCCTGGCCAACAAAGTAAAACCCCATCTCTTAAAAAAAAAAAAAAATACAGTATTTTTCTCACTTAAATTATTGCTGTCAGGCATGTAAAAAAAAAAAAAGAAAAAAGAAAAAGAATACTTTGAAAGTCAGTATTTAACTTTTCTACATTTTTAAGGAAAACAAATGTACAGTGAATCCGCAGATTAAAGCAGAAACAGAAATTACCCGGTATGAAGTGAGAAACAATGTTCCTGTCTTTGTACCACTAAAGACACTGGAGCCTTCTGATCGCTGTGGGAAGGAGAGCTCCACATTTGGAGACTGCTTCAAGAGACTGTAGAAAAGGAGGAATAGCACACAATCCAGAACATATATAAAATGACAAACATAAAGTTCTTAACAGAGTTTTTTTTCCAGAGTACGCACTCAATAAACATTAGCTGCTTCTACTGCTACTACTACTATTTTATTGAAATAAAAAGAAATATTCAAATGATCTTATTCTCTGACAATTTACTCTTTATCATTTGATTCTTTTTCTTGTCAAACCTAGTCCTATTCTGTGTATTCATTCTTTTTTTTTTTTTTTTTCTGAGACAGAGTCTTGCTCTGTCACCCAGGCTGGAGTGCAGTGGTGTGATCTTGGCTCACTACAACCTCTGCCTCCCGGGTTCAATCAATTCTCTACCTCAGCCTCCCAAGTAGCTGGGATTACAGGCGACTGTCACCATGCTTGGCAAATTTTTGTATTTTTAGTAGAGATGGGGTTTCACTATCTTGGCCAGGTTGGTCCTGAACTTCTGACCTCATGATCCACCTGCCTCAACCTCCCAAAGTGCTGGGATTACAGGCATGAGCCACCATGCCTGGCCTCATTAATTCTTAGACTTCTTGTGTGGTAAGCATAAAGTACCATGCTAATGGCAATGGTTCTTTGACGCTAGTAAAAAAGGTAAGGCGGCAGACTGCCCCAGCCCCCTCTGACATGTTGTTCCCTCAGCCTGTTGTGCTCTCTCCTTACTGTTAACCTGGAAAACTTGGACTCATCTTGTCACTCATCAAATCCCAGCTACACAGGAGGCTGAGGCATGAGAATTGCTTGAACCAGGTAGTCGGAGATTTCAGTGAGCCGAGGTCACGCCACTGCACTCCAGCCTGGGCAACAGAGAGAGACTCTATCTCATAAAAAGAAAAAAACTGTAGTTTGTTTTGACTTGTCTGGTGGCTTCTTGAAGGACTGGCTCAAAGGGCACATACTTAATTTGTATTTTTCCTGGGACTAATGAGGCTACCAGAGGGCATTTGACAAAAACATTTCCAACCCAATGCATTAGTTGCTGCTACCTAGGGGAAGGGATGACAGTTGGGGCAAAATATAGACAAATTGTAAAGACAGAGGAAAGGATGAGCAATGAGATACTTTAAGGAATAAAGGCTTTGAAAAACTCACATATATTCCTGGGAAACAAGAAAGCCACACACACACACATCCAGGGCTGGATTTGTACTAAAAAAAAAAAAAAGAAAATGATGCAAAAAAGAAGTGAAGGTAAAGGCAGAGGTGTAAACTGCCTGGCTGAGTGAGAAAAGCATGGTCATCCTCCCGATCTGCCCACCTCAGCCTCCCAAAGTGCTGAGATTACAGGCATGAGCCACTGTGCCCGGCTAATGGCTTATCTTTCTTAGTGCCTCAAACTAAATCTTGTTCAGGCATGTTTTTTTTTTTGAGACAGAGTCTCACTCCACCACCAGGTGCCAGGCTGGAGTGCAGTGGTGCGATCTCGGCTCACTGCAATCTCCGCCTCCCAGGTTCAAGCAATTCTCCTGCCTCAGCCTCCCCAGTAGCTGGGACACACGCCACCATGCCCAGCTAATTTTTTGTATTTTCAGTAGAGATGGGGTTTCACCATGTTGGCCAGGATGGTCTCAATCTCTTGACCTCGTGATCCACCCACCTTGGCCTCCCAAAGTGCTGGGATTACAGGCGTGAGCCACTGCGCCCGGCTCCCACTTGTTTTTTTTTTTAAGTTCCTCTTTTGCTTTCTTTTTAAAATTTTATTATGTGAGATGAGGTTTCACTATTTCGCTCAGTATGGTCTTCAACTCCCTCCTGGTTTCAAGTGATCCTCCCACCTCAGCCTCTCAAATAGGTAGGACTACAGGTGTGCACACCCATCTCAGGTTCTGCAAAGTCGTTTCTATCCAGGAAACCAGGGTACTAACAAGTCCTTCTTTGGTAAGAAGAAAATAGAGAAACAGTCCTTTTCTTTTTTGAGGAATAGCTGGAGTAGGTACTTAATGCACAGTTCCTAAGATCAAATCCAAATCCAAGCTCTCTCACATGCACTTTAAGCAAATTACTTTTCTGTTTTTCCACCTGTGAAATGAGGGAAACAATACTGATCTTCACTGTAGATTGTAGATAGAGTGAGTTTTTTTGTTTTGAGGCAGTCTCACCGCATCACCCAAGCTGAAACGTAGTGTTACAATCTCAGCCCACTATAATTTCCCCTCTGCCTCCCGGGCTCAAATAATTCTTGTGCCTCAACCTCTCGAACTGCTGGGATTACAGACGTGCACCAGCATGCCCAGCTAATTTTTGCATTTTAAGTAGAGACGGGGGTATCAGCATGTTGGCCAGGCTGGTCTCAAACTCCTGGTCTCATGTAATCCACTAGCCTTGGCCTCCCAAAGTGCTAGAATCACAGGTGTAAGCCATCATGCCTGGCCGACAAGAGTGGTTTAAACTACAGTAAAAAGCTCTTGGAACTAAGAACAGTACTTGGCATATTTAAGTGTTCAATAAATACAAAATGGATCCCATAAAGATAATTCAAAGGACCACAAAAATAAGTGTTTTGTGTTTTGTTGTTTAAAACATGCTTCCTTTCCTTCCTCCAACACAAAAGCAGCAAAGCAGAGACACACCCATAGCCCAAGGAGAAGACACCCAAACACCAAATTAGAAATGGCTTCACAGCATGGAATGAGAGGTGCTCAAATGGCTCCCAGTAAGTGCCTACAGAGATACCCCTGTCAGAGTGGTGAGTAATCATATCCCACAAAATTGGACAAAGCAGCAGAGGTATGAAGGAAGCAAGTGAGGACATGGAACCTCTAAGGCCCATATAAATCTGTCAAGAAAACTTTCTGGTGGAAGGAAGGATAGAAGAAAGATCTGGACATCAGCATTTGGTAATGTCTACTTCAATCTTCCTGACAACTGCATTCAAACTGACCTGGGTGTGCTGGCCCCAAGCACATCATCTAGCTTGAGTTCCACTGCTGGGTAGGAAAAAAAGAAAGTAAGGGCAAGTAAGAGCCCAGAAAGGAGCACAGTTCAGAACCCCACAGCCGGGAAGACTGAGGCTGACTGTGGGAAACGAGGAAAGGGGCATGTGGGATAGAGGTAAAGAAGGGAATGCAGTGGAGTGGCGGCCATAGTGGGCAAGTATGCCTTGAAGGTGGAGACAGGCACCTCTCTGGCTGGGCCTGCTCCAGTAGAGTGCTCAGGGGCCAGCAGCAGGCACCACAAGGAGCAAAGCAACTGGTGCAAACCCCACACAGCTTCATGCAACCAAGAGTGCTTTATTCTGCCCAGGCATCTGTTCAGTCTCATCTTTTTTTTTTTGAAACAGGATCTGGCTCTCACCCAGGCTGAAGTGCAGTGGTGCAATCTGGGCTCACTGCAGCTCAAACTCCTGCGTTCAAGCGATCCTCCTACCATAACCTTCCAAGCAGCTGGGATTATAGGTGCACACCATCATGCCCCACTGATTTTCTACTTTTTGTAGAGACAGGGGTCTCACTATGTTGCCCAAGCTTGTCTCGAACTCCGAGTCCACCTCAGCTTCCCAAAGTGTTGGGATCAGAGGCATGAGCCACCACACCTGGCCTCAATCTTTTCAATCTTTTGTTTTAAAAAGCAGACATCTCCCTAGTTGGAGCAAGGAGGAAACGGGACTTCGGTAAGTTCCGAGGGACAAGGGGAAGCACCCTGACAGTTCGAGATCTTTCCAGAATGATCTGCACTCCACCTCCTCATCCCTCTTCCCAAAGCGAGACACCTTGTTCCTGGGAGTAGGGGGCGATGCACACCCAGTGCTTGTCCTCATCCGACAAAGTCACAGGGGACCAACGGGCAGCCATGTTGCCACCAAGGGTCCCCTGCTGCTCACGACCGCCAGTCAGATCCAGCCTTTCTTCGAACGAGACACGCATCTCGGCCCCCCGCCCGCCGCCCTGAGGAGACACGCGTTTTGGCCCTGCGCCTGAAGAGAGGCATTCCCATCCCCGCCCCTCACACGCGCGAAGCCAAGCGTTCCGGCCTCCACCATCTTAAGATGCCGGAACACCCAAGGGGGGACGCGCACTCCCAACGGGGCGGAGCTAAGAGCGCCGCGCCCAAAAAAGGCGGCAAAGTCCCTGACACGCTTAGAGCTTGTGAGTCGCCATGTCTATCCTCTCCTCTGACGGCACGCTGTGCTTCCCCTCAGGCACCTTTCACCGTTAGGGATGAGGGCCCCGCGGCGGTTCTCGGTATGGTTCTGATTCAACGCCATCTTGCTTCGGGCCTCCTCCCGCCGCCCCGCAGGTGGAAAGGGGCGGGGGGGACCTGCGACGAGACGTGGAGCGGGGCTATGAGAGGGAGGGCGGAGATTATGACGCAAGGAGGAGGAGGGGGCGTGTTCGCGTCACGTGATTAGGGCAGTGGCCGGAGGGCAGGGAGGAATCAGGGTGGAGTCCCCAGCCGCGAAAGGGGCGGGGCCTTGGAATTGGCTCCGCCCCCGGAGCGGGAAAGGGTAATAGGTGAATGGCCTCCCGACCTCGCCTGTCCCCTTAGCTCCCTGCCTGCGGATTTGGACTTGGGTTGGTCCTGTCAAGAATGAAAATTAAAGGCAGCCGACCCGAGAACCCAAGCAAGGATTTCCCTGCGCCCTCCCCGCCCCGCCAGGAAGCCGCTGCCTTTTGCAGAAAGGGACCAGACTAACTCCTTGCCTCCCTAGGCCCACAGAACTTTCTTCCACCGGCGGAGGCCCGGAGACCCCTGAGGAGTCCCTGCCAGTTCCAAGATCGACAGCGCCTTTGCCTCTGGGTCATGGTTCATGCCTGCCCTGCCTCCTCCAGGGTGATCTTGGGAATGGAGCGGGACGTGTTGTACCGGAATTGCTTTGACAACTAAAATGTACATGTTCTTATTTACTTTAAACTTCACAAATACAGGCCAGGCATGATGACTCACGCCTGTAATCTCAGCACTTTGGGAGGCCCAGGCGGGAGGGTCACTTGAACTCAGGGGTTCAAAACCAGCCTGGGCAATATGGTGAGCCTTATGTCTACCTTATTTTTTTTTAATTTAATTAACTGGGTGTAGTGGCTTACACCTGTAGTCCCAGCTACTCCAGAGGCTGAGGCGGGAGGACTGCTTGAGCCCCGGAGATGGAAGCTGCTGATGGCAGCCAGCGGTGATCCAACCACCGCACTCCAGCCTGGGTAGCAGAGCAAGACCCTATTTTAAAAAAATGAAAATAGCCGGGCGCGGTGGCTCAAGTCTGTAATCCCAGCACTTTGGGAGGCCGAGGCGGGTGGATCACGAGGTCAAGAGATCGAGACCATCCTGGTCAACATAGTGAAACCCCGTCTCTACTAAAAATACAAAAAACTAGCTGGGCGTGGTGGCGCGTGCCTGTAATCCCAGCTACTTAGGAGGCTGAGGCAGGAGAATTGCCTGAGCCCAGGAGGCGGAGGTTGCGGTGAGCCGAGATCGCGCCACTGCACTCCAGCCTCGGTAACAAGAGTGAAACTCCGTCTCAAAAAAAAAAAAAAAAAAAAAAAAAAATGAAAATAATAAAAATAGACTTCAGTAGTATCAGAGTCCAGACACAGCACCAGAGTTCTTCAAAGAGATCAAAGGGATCTTCAAAGAGATGTAAACCTCTTCTTGACTACTGTCTTTCATCAAATTTAAGATACTGTTAAGCATAAGATGCAACAGTTTTTTATGTACCACTGAGGGGGAAAAAAGTTGCCAAATAAACTGACATTTCATCAATTGTAAATGTATCTTGATTTCAGAAAATTTGTTTCAAAATACAAGACTTACTACAACCACCTTGGGCAAAGATTATTATGTTCTTGGGACTCCAGTTTGCGTATATCTGTATGAAGGCATTGAACAGATGAGCTCTTAGGTTTCTTTCAGCTGTGACATTTTATGTTCACCAAACTGCTTTGTCACACATTTCTCTCCATCTCAGTGTCATGTTGCTACTCCTTTCTGCCCTCGTTATTTTACTTCAATCACTCCCACAGCCTCCTGCTTTGTCTTCATCCAACTCTGTCCCTACCAAACCACTTCCCACTATTCATCCATACCTTGCACTCATCCTCCAGAATGTTGAGGCCTCAAACATAATTGCCCACAGTTGTCACATTCAGAGAAATAATATACAGGTGAGTGTGTTACTTGTTGGCTACCATAAAAAGTGTGCACCTTAAGGAGAGGAAGAGTTGGCTTAAGTTGAAGAAAGATATAAGCTAAAGTCAGGTGTGATGGCTCCTTTGGGAGGCTGAGGCGGGCCAATCACGAGTTCAGGAGTTTGAAACTCAGCCTGACCAACATGGTGAAAGCCCATCTCTACTAAAAATTAAAAAATTAGCCAGGCGTTGTGGCAGGTACCTGTAATCTCAGCTACCTGGGAGGCTGAGGCAAGAGAATCACTTGAACCCAGGAGATGGAAGTTGCAGTGAGCCGAGACCAGGCCATTGCACTCCAGCCTGGACGAGAGAGTGTGATTCTGTCTCAAAAACAAAAACAAAAACAAAAACAAACAAACAAACAAAAAAAAAACAAGCTAGTGCTTAAATTTTAATCCTTATTCACTGTAAAATAAGCAGGTATCTAGGTAAGATGGGTCCACTCCTTTTATATACGTATTTTTTGAGACAGGGTCTTGTGTTGCAGGCTGGTCTTGAACTCCTGGGCTCAAGCGATCCTCCTGCCTTAGCCTCCCAAAGTGCTGAGATTACAGCCATGAGCCACCACACCCAGCCAGGTCCACTCCTTTCATAGACTTGGTCCTTACACATTAAGGAAAAAGGAGGGGGAAAGCCAGGAAGTTAACTGAATGAAAATAAGCATCGTTTTCACTAGAGACAGGCTGTACTTTGCACAGCATCCCTCAAGTTCAGGTGTGATAATTCCATCACTCATTTTGTTGTTGCATTTTTTTTTTTTCTTTGAGACAGGGTCTTGCTCTGTTGCCCAGGCTGGAGCACAGTAGAATGAGCTCAGCTCACTGCAACTCCAACCTCCCATGCTCAAGCCATTTTCCCACCTCAACCTCCCATCCATTTCTCATTTTGGACATAAAATGTTATAAAATAATGACTGAGGCCCAACCTCACAAGGTGTTTCCATCTCTTGTATCTGTGGCTACTTCTTACCGAGACAATCTCACCCTCCACACATGGGTGAGATGACATAACAGCTGATTTGGTCAAGGAGCACAATAAGACACGCCAGGCAATTACTGTTCAAACAGCAGTGTTTAGTTGTACAACACATAAAGTCTAGCAACATTTACAGGACCAGTTTGAGTGTCTGTTTGCTTGTTTTCATTTGGGAAATTTAACTGTAATGTCACCGTAGATTGGCTGGGACTGGTAACATTTAAGAAATGGGTCGTTCTTGCATCCCCTAGGCGTGGGCCTCTTGCTCATCAGGACTTGGTTGTAGTTGAATGGCCCACAAGTCACCAGCCTTTGAGCAAGTTGTGTCCAGGTGGAGACAGGGAGGGGGTGGGCAAAGGGGACTTCTATAAAGACACAGTGTGTGGGGCAGTGGCAGTCGACATTCGCAAACATTCATGCATCTGATGGGGGGCTTTGCCCTCCCTTGGGTATTTTCCATTAGCCTATAGTGACCACCTGTGGCCAGGCTAATTCATTACTCACATTAATGGGGAAGGGGGTGGGGGTAGGAGTAGGTAGGGTAGGTGGGAAGAGATCCCTCTTATTGCTGAATGGACAGAAGGGTGCTAGTTTTTCCTTAGAGTGTACATATTGTGGGTTTCTAGGGGTTTGTGTGTGTGTTTGGTTTTTGTTTGGGCATAAGAAAGTCAACTCCAGCAATGTCTTCTTAGGAAAACCACTCTTTCTCAGTGGCTACGTTGAGGTGGGGAGGATGCACAACTGTACTCTGGGCCAGCCACAAGTGGTGATTTTTAAAAAAGTGATCCTAGTCCTTGCTCCCCAACATCTATAGTGACCCACCCTCATGAATTCTTTTAAGCAATGAAGGAGACACCCTCGTCCCACATTGGGGCTCACACAGCTCATCTCAATGAATCTGGCAAGCAGAAAAATTGCTTTCTTGACCCTTTAAGGAAGCCAAGAGTAGCTCATGCAGATGAATGAGTAGGGAGCAATGCCATTGCCCTTGGAGATGGTTACAAGTAGCTGGAGTGGGCCTGCAAGGGCAGAAAGAGCTCTTGATGAGTTCTTTTGCCCTGCAGATGGTCTGGGACCGGCTGACACAGACAATGGCGTAGGGCAGTGCTGGCAGAACCCCACTCCACTGGGAGGAGAGGAGTGGTTTGGATAAGTGGAAGAAGCAACTGTCCTAGAGGCAGCTGGCTCTCCCACCTACTGAGGGCTGAGAAGGACTGTGGTGGTGAGCTGGACAAGCACAGCACTAAAAAGGGCTTGGCCCTGCAGCAATAACAGCTGAGAGGAATGGAGGGAGAAGCAGCGCTTGAAATGGCCTTCATTCAGCAGTGGGGCAGGGGGTGGCTGGCACAGGTGGAAGGACAGTGCCCAGGAGGCCTTCTCCCTGCAGGGGGGGTTGAGAACTGTTGAGGGTGTGGAGACCAGCAGCTGGCAGCAAACGTATAAAATACCTTCTCCATGGAGGCTGAGATCATGGTTCGGGGTGCCAGGCACCATTCCTACTCAGCCTCTCCGACACCCACCTCCCATACCCCTGGATCTTCCCCTGCTGGTCCAAGGTCTCCACACAGGACTGCTTCTCTGGCAGCCTAGGATCCCTGTTCTGTTGAAATGTAGTAACCTCTGGGATGCGGCACTGCTCAAGTCCTGACAGGAGCCTACCCTGTAACTGTGAGCAGGGGAGGATGAGGGCTGGGTTGGCAAATAAGCCTCCAGGAAAGACCGAGACCACAGGTTTGAGGTCACCGGTGACCTGATCACCACCCGCCTTTCCCCTGGTCCACTGAATCTTGGGTCTTAAGTCTGTGTTTTTTTCCTAGCACCTGAGTGACGAAAGACTGGGATTGTAAGTGCTGGGATTCATAGAGGACCAGTGAAAAACCTCAGCTGAACCAGGAGATGGGACAGGAGGTTGTATGAGGTTATTGTAAACAGTTTCACTTGGTGTTTTCCCTTTCCTAAGGCTAAATTGTTTCCCCGGCCCCAAATTTCATCAATCTTACAGATTAAAGGAAAAGAGTAACTTACTTGTACAACAAACAGGGGAAATATATGCATTAATAAATACAGGGCTTCAGGGAGAGACAAGAAAAGCCTAAGTGTATGAAAATGGGTATCACTGGGACTGTCTGCAGGAGTCAGGAGAGGGAATTAGGGAAAAGCAGAGAAAGACATACACGTAATTAGCTTCAGCGCAAAAGTGACAGGGAATAGAAAAGTAAGAAGTCAAGTATGTTTGAAGCAAATGGAACAACAGAGAAGCCTGCTTAAAAGGGAGAGAGAAGTCTGATGGAGAAAAGGGAGGTGTGGTCAAAAATCTGTCTCTGAAGCCAAATCACTAAGACAAATAATGTATCTTGTTTCTGATACTTCTTTAGAATTAGTTATAGAACTTAATATCCCCATAAAAGGTTGTCTCGCCTGACCAGCATGTGTGCTTCGGGAACCTCCATCACTCACTGTGTTTCCCTCTTCACATTGGCTGCCTGTGAGCTCAGGGCTTGTTCAGGTGTTTGACTACAGAAACTTTCTTTCCTCTTCCTTTCTTTGGCTCAGTTTCTCTGACAATCTCAGTTTGTACTGTCCTGTACTTTTTTTGAGACAGTCTTGCTCTGTTGCCCAGGCTGGAGTGCAGTGGCGCCATCTAGACTCACTGCAACCTCTGCCTCCTGGATTCAAGCAATTCTCTGCTTCAGCCTCCCAAGTAGCTGGGATTACAGGTACACACCACCATGCCTAACTAATTTTTGTATTTTTAGTAGAGATGGGGTTTCACCATGTTGGTGAGGTTGGTCTCCAACTCCTGATCTCGTGATCCACCCGCCTCAGTCTCCCAAAGTGCTGGGATTACAGGTGAGAGCCACAGCACCCAGCCTGTCCTGTACTTTTGTGATTTTATTTGAAAGCAGCCTAAAGTCATTTCTGGAAGTAGACTGGACATAAATTCTAAACATAGGAATGAACCTAAAGTAGATTCATCTAAAAGGAAGTGAAAGATGTCAGAGATGGGCAGGAGAGAGGGAGAGAAAGGAATGTATGAGGAAAGGAGGGAAAGGGAGAAAGAAGACAAAGTAGGAAGCAGACAGGCACTGGCCTGGGAGCAGAGGCCAGGTGAGTGGACAGCAGCAGTAGGCTCTGGTGACAGGTGGTGGCTTTGGGACAGTGAACACAACACAGACGGAAGGGTGGAGCTCCACTCGTAGGCACTGATTCTTTCTGTAAGAACCCAGCTCTGCCCTACTTCTCTGCCCTCTCATGGCCTTCCTTTTCCCAGGAAGCCCCATCCTAACCCCAGACTACCCCCAACTCACAGAGAGGGTTGTCCCTGCCCCCTACCCAGGTCTAGCTCCACTGCCATCTGTCCTTGGAGAATCTCTATAGTCCCAGTTTGTGTGCAGGTTCCAAGAGAAGAGTTGCCTGTGGCTCACCTGCTCCCAATGCTTTTAAACGAAACCTCCCCCAGATCTCCTGAGTGAGGCACAGGGCTTTGTTTTGGGACACAAGGAAAGGAGACAGATAATGGACAGGCATGGAGGAACCAAACTTACAAGGGACTCTCCAGGGAGGGCAGTGAAAATACCTCACCCCTGCATGCACACACACAGGCTCTCTCGCTCTCCCTCACACACACACACACACACACACACACACACACACACAAACACAACATAGACAAGATGCTCCACAAACACCAGAGAGGCCTATGGGACAGAGCTGAGAGGAAGAAGGTGGTTGGTGGTGGTATCTGGGATGTGTGTGTGTGAAGTGGGTATGTATGATGACACAGAGAAGGGGTCATCATGGGTTACTGTCGTGGCTTTCCTCTGTGTCCACGCTCACCGGAGGGAGGCCTCCATTGTCATTGAGCCGCTTGGCCCTGTAAGTCTCATAGTGGATGTTGTGTGTCACTTCCTTGAGGTCCTGGAGGTGGGTCCTAGAGGACAAAGGGTGAGAAGAAAAAGGATGAATTAGGGGCAGGAAGAGGAGGTGGTGACATACATCACTTCGAGGGACTGGACTCAATGACTGGGACCCACTCCCAGGAGCTAAGGATGCTTCTACAGCCCCTTCTGGTTTGCAACAGGAGCTGGAACTGAGGCAGAAAGCTCTGTCACAGAGACCTGGAGACACAGGAGGTGAATTTAAACAGACAGATCCTGACCCCAAATAATTCAGCCTGCTATCTGGACAGGGGGAGGGGAGACATCTTACCTGATGACAAAGTCTCGAAGCAGGGCAAACTCACAGTGGTTGAGGTTTTCCACTATGAATAAAACAAAACAAAGCAAAACAGGTAGTCAGTTCATTAATGCAGCAACACCCAGGAGGTGAACTTCTGTTCGGGTCACAGAGGCATTTAGGAGAAAGCTATGGGATGGGTTCTTCTGCAACCCTTTCAGAGGTTTGCTCACTTGGGTGCACTGGATTTGATTCATTGAACAAATGTTTATTAAGCAGCTACAATGGGCACAACACTCTTCTAGATGCTGTAGAATAATAGCTAAAAGGGACTATTATTTTTATCATTTTACAGAAGAGAAAACTAACACAGAGTCTAAGAAACTGGCCAAGGCCTAAGATACATTTCACATTCTTATGAAGCTTATAATCCAATTGGAAGTAACATAGAGAAAATAACAATTGAGCCATTTTATTTTATTATTTTCATTTTATTTTATTTTGAGACGGAGTCTCACTCTTGTTGCCCAGGCTGGAGTGCAATGGCATGATCTTGGCTCACTGCAACCTCTGCCTCCCAGGTTCAAGCAATTCTCCTGCCTCAGCCTCCTGAGTAGCTGAGCTACAGGCAATGTGCCACCAGAGCCAGCTAATTTTTTATTTTTATTTTAATAGAGACAGGGTTTCTCCATGTTGGTCAGGCTGGTCTTAAACTCCCAACCTCAGGTGATCCGTCCTCCTCAGCTTCCCAAAGTGCTGGGATTACAGGCGTGAACCACTGTGCCTGGCCCAATTGAGCCATTTTAAAAAGGTCATGCACTACATAATAAATCCAATTCAACATATACTGAATACCTAGTATCTGGAAATCACTGGCCAAGCACTGTTGGAACAGAATGAAGATTAAGACATGGGGCTGGGCACGAGAGCTCATGCCTATAATCCCAGCACTTTGGGAGGCCAAGGAGGGAGGATTACTTGAACCCAGGAGTTCAAGATCAGCCTGGGTAATATAGTGAGACCCTACCTCTATTAGAAATAAAAATAAATAGCCAGGTGCAGTGGCTCGTGCCTGTAATCCCAGCACTCTGGGAGGCTGTGGCAGGCGGATCACCTGAGGTCAGGAGTTCGAGACCAGCTTGACCAACATGTCAAAACTCCGTCTCTACAAAAAATATAAATATTAGCTGAGCATAGTGCGCACCTGTGGTCCCAGCTACTCAGGAGGCTGAGGCAGGGAGAATCACTTGAACCCGGGAGGCAGAGGTTGCAGTGAGCCGAGATTGTGCCATTGCACTCCAGCCTGGGCGACAGAGTGAGACTCCATATCAAAAAAAAAAAAAAAAAAAAAAAAAAGTCTGAGTCTGAAATCAAGTTTTGCCACTAATAAGTTATGTGACTTTGGGCAAGGCTTTTAGCCTGAGCTCTGGTGCTTTGGTGTCTTATATTCTGAGAACAGGAGCATGTACCCTCCACCCTTCATAGGGTTATCATATTGAATGAAATCATTAAAGTGATTCCTTGACCACTTTCAGAACCATCAACACCTGCCCAAGGTCACATCCATTCATAACAAAATGGAAATGGCAACATCTGAACAACCCTCCAGCAGTCTGTCAGATCACATCTTCCTTCCTATGAAAACTTTCTCCAGGTTTTCCAGGTCTTACTAAACTCTCCATGTTCTGAACTCCTTTGATGCACCAAGTCAGTGCACCCAGTCAGGTGCTACATTGGTCTCTTGTTACTCCTGCCTGTAAGCATCTTCTCAATGAGACTGTAAGCTCCTTAAGGGCAGAATCTGGCTGGCATTCATTTCATATGTTCTGAGACAGTGCCTTGATCTATAGATGCTTAAGAAATGGTGACTGGATAACTGATCAGCAACGAGTTCTTCCAGAAGATGCAGTGAATTACCTTCGATGATCCCCCATGGAGTTTTTCGGCCAAGGACCCTCTTGCCATTCACTTGGTACTCCTTGTCACTTCCCACCACAGCAAACGGCATGCTCTCCTGCTGTACAGGACAGAAACACAAACCAGACAATGTGCACCGTCATCCTCCAACAACCTAGGCATCCAGGAGCAGGACAACATATGGTCCTGTGGCCTTGAACCACACTCTTCTGCTCATTCAGAGATACCGCTGATGGCAAGGGCAAGGCTGAGCCGACTGAAAAGAGCACCACACTCAGAACCAGGAGTCCTGGGTCGAATCCCGATTGTACTACTACCCGGCTGGTTAACCTCAGGAATCAGCTCTCCTTCAGCTGCAAAGCGCTTCATACATTTTTTTTTTTTTTTTTTTTTTTTGAGATCGAGTTTTGCTCTTGTTGCCCAGGCTGGAGTGCAATGGGACAGTTTCAGCTGACTGCAACCTCTGCCTTCTGAGTTCAAGTGATTCTCCTGCCTCAGCCTCCCGAGTAGCTGGGACTATAGGCATGTACCACCACGCCCTCCCTGCTAATTTGTATATTTTTATAAAATAGAGACTATATTTTTATAAAGTAGAGATAGTTTCGCCATGTTGGTCAGGCTGGTCTGGAACTCCCGACCTCAGTTGATCCACCTGCCTCAGCCTCCCAAAGTGCTGGGATTACAGGTGTGAGCCACTGTGCCTGGCTTTTATTTTTAAATGGAGTTTCCACTCTTGTCACCCAGGCTGGAGTTCTCAGCTCACTGCAACCTCCACCTCCCTGCAACCTCCACCTCCTGGGTTCAAGCAATTCTCCTGCCTCAGCCTCTCAAGTAGCTGGGATTACAGGCACCCACCACTGTGCTCAGATAATTTTCATATTTTTAGCAGAGATGGGGTTTCACCATGTTGGTCAGGCTGGTCTCAAACTCCTGACTTCAGGTGATCTACCTGCCTCAGCCTCCCAAAGTGCTAGGATTATAGGCGTGAGCCAATGCACCCAGCCACTTCGTACTTTTCATAGTGCTTTACCATACGCTTACTGATTTTGAACAACTCTGACCTAGCAAGGACAGACAGAATCCCTCTTAAACAAGTCCACCCAAGCAGACTCACTGACGCTTTATACCGTCTCTGTGATACCTACTACTGCAGATGCCCAGGCCCTCGGAACTCTCAGAGCTCTAGGCTACTTCCTGGTGTACAAAGGCCAGCCCTGCTCTACCAGGTGGGTTGTTTGTTCATCAAGTGCCAGCTGTTTGTTTCCAAATCTATTTGCCTGATGTGTACTTGTTATTGTGATTAGATAAACTGAAGTCATATGCCTGAAGAGAGTTGCTTCTCTGAAATTTAAGCTGAATGTTTCAGAAAGACTTGATAAAGGTGAGTTGCTTTGGCATTAAAGGTGGGCTTATCCTGAAAGAAGAGGCCTTGGCGCTTCAGGAAAAGAATGTTTAATGAATGTGATGAATATGTTTTGTTTTGCTTTGGGCAGGTGAGTTATTATACACACCTTAGCAGATTCTAAGTTCCATGCCCACCGTCCTGCTTATACATGTTTTAAGTTATTTTAACTTAGTAACTTCTTAAAATATTTATTTATTTATTTATTTATTTATTTATTGAGACGGAGTTTCGCTTTTGTTACCCAGGCTGGAGTGCAATGGCGCGATCTCGGCTCACCGCAACCTCTGCCTCCTGTGTTCAGGCAATTCTCCTGTCTCAGCCTCCTGAGTAGCTGGGATTACAGGCACGTGCCACCATGCCCAGCTAATTTTTGTATTTTTATTAGAGACGGGGTTTCACCATATTGACCAGGATGGTCTCGATCTCTTGACCTCGTGATCCACCCGTCTTGGCCTCCCAAAGTGCTGGGATTACAGGCTTGAGCCACCGTGCCCAGCCTAAAATATTTATTTTTAAACATTTAAGATTTGTGACCAGGTGCAGTGGCTCATGCCTGTAATCCCAACACTTTGGGAGGCCAAGGAGGGCTGATCACCTGAGGTCAGGAGTTGGAGACCAGCCTGACCAATGTGGAGAAACCCATCTCTACTAAAAAAACAAACAAACAAAAAAAACCAAAAAACAAAATTAGCTAAGTGTGGTGGTGTGTGCTTGTAATCCCACCTACTTGGGTGGCTGAGGCAGGAGGCTGCAGTGAGCTGAGATTGTATTATTGTACTCCAGCCTGGGCAGCAAGAGCGAAACTCTGCCTCAAAAAAAAAAAAAAAAAAAAAAAAAAAAAAAAAAAAAAAAGACTTGTAAACATAATTTTAGAAAATAATTTCCTCGCCTCAGAGAACTTTTTCAGTTAATTGACCAACTACTGGTCTCAACTACTTCGGATAAGGAACTTCTACTAGTTTATCCACTCAATAGAGGAGGAGACTTAAGACCAAAACAGTGAATAACGTATCTCAGGGGAGACAGCAAAGCCCAGCCTAGTTCCCAGCTTCTGATGTAGAATCACAGAACTGCAGGAATTTAGAATTGAGAGGGACCTTGGATATTATGCAGAATGACAGATTGCAAGCCAGGCTTATGGAGCATTAAGGTTTCCAGCAAGTACCCTACAGGCTGCTGAGGAGGCAGGGCTCTGTGCCTGTCACTTAGCCAAAGCAGCTCTGATTTTATGTTTTGTATATTGGAATTCTGAGATTTATTCTTTTTTTTTTTTTTTAAAGATAGTCTTGCTCAGCTGGGTGTGGTGGCTCACACCTGTAATCCCAGCACTTTGGGAACCAAGCTCCTGATCATAAAGTCAGGAGCTTGAGACTAGCCTGGCCAACATGATGAAACCCTGTGTCTACTAAAAAAATACAAAAATTAGCTGGACATGGTGGCACGCACCTGTAATCTCAGCTACTAGGGAGGCTGAGGCAGGAGAATGGCTTGAACCTGAGAGGCAGAGGTTGAAGTGAGCTGAGATCACACCACTGCACTGCAGCCTGCGCAACAAAGCAAGACTCAGTCTCAAAAAAAAAGAAAGATAAGGTCTTGCTCTGTCACCCAGGCTGGAGTGCAGTGGCATAATCATGGCTCATTACAGCCTCAACCTCTGGGGCTCCTGCGATCCTCCCACCTCAGCCTCCTGAATAGCTGGGACTACAGGTACCTGCCATCACACCTGGATAATGTTTGAAGTTTTTATAGAGACAAGTTTTTGCCATGTTGCCCAGGCTGGTCTTGAACTCTTGGGCTCAAGCAATTCTCCCACCTAGGCCTCCCAAAGTACTGGGATTATTGGCATGAGCCATCACACCCAGCCAATTTTTTTTTTTGTTTTTTTTTGGGGGTGGGGGGAAGCCTATAAGCCACTCACTTAGTCTAACCCCTGCATTATATAGAGAAGAAACTGAGGCAGGATCTGAGCATAGATTTTCCTGAACCCCAGCACAACACTCTTCCTGCCCACTGCCCCTCCCATCACCCCACATACTGTTTCTGCCAGACCTTGTGAGGGAAAAGGAGGCTTTTGTGTGGTCTGGGGATGGAAGGTTTTCTGGGTACAGGGAGCCCTTCTGTGGGTTCACAGTCCAGGGCCAGAGCCTCTCCCACTCCCCATGTCACTTCTGGTCTGTGTCAAATAAGGTGGGGGAGAGTATAGAAAGAGTATAGACAGAGGATGCGCATGATACACATCCCAGAGGTCGAAGGGGGTATCTGTGGAGGAGCAGTGCCTCAGGCACCCACCCTGATTTTGTCATTCTCCGTCTTATCCTCCAAATCCTCATCAAATTCCTTCTGTGGGTAGAATTCAATGCCGTTTACTTCAAGCTCCTTGCGAACCTGGAGGCGGGGAGAAGAAGCAAGGTAGCCAAGTGTCAGGATAATGGAAAAGGGGGTGTGTGCACCTATGTGTGAGCTGAGGTCAGACAGCCAAATCCAGCCTTGGATAATGCAGTCATCTCTGAACTCTGAGACCCTGAGCAGCAGTAAGATTGTGAATAAATGCAAGCCCCAGTGATACAATTACAGCTTAGCCTGAGAGGAGGAAGAGGCCAGGAGGTACAACTTCAGGTCCCAGGCGCCTTGCAACCAGCTTGCTCATCTCAAGTCCACAAGACTGGGATTTGCACAAGCAGCCCAGCTGAGCCCACTGGGGAGTGCTCAGACCCCTGCATGTTATATTCCTGATTGCAAGGAAGAAAGGTGAGGCTCCCCCTACTCCAAGACTCTGTTTGCCCTCTTTCAAGGTTGACTTAAGTCTTGCCTTCTCCAGGAAACCACCCAGGACTTCTTCATTGTTCTATTTGATTGTAAGTTTCTTTTTTTTTTTTTTTTTTTTTGAGATGGAGTCTCCCTCTATCCCCCAGGCTGGAGTGCAGTGGTACGATCTCAGCTCACTGCAACTTCCACCTCCCGGGTTCCAGCAATTCTCTTGCCTCAGCATCCCAAGTAGCTGAAATTACAGGCGCCCACCACCACACCCAGCTAATTTTTTGTATTTTAGTAGAGATGTAGTTTCACCATGTTGGCCAGGCTGGTCTCGAACTCCTGACCTCAGGTGATCCACCCACCTCAGCCTCCCAAAGTGCTGGGACTACATGTGTGAGCCACCGCACCCGGTAGATTGGTTTGTTAAAAGTAGCAATTGTCTTTTCATTTCTCTCAAATCCCATCTCCTCAACCTCATATAGCCAGCACAGGGCTGAGCTTATAGAAGATGCCAGTGAGGACTAGTGGCCAGTTGACTCACTAATTAGTCTAGTCCTTCAAGTAGGGTAACATTTGAGGAGTGATTTCTCATGTTCACAGTGATACATGTATTCAGTGGGCTTCACAGGTAGGTTTAGAGGGCAGGAGGAAGGCACTCGGAGCTGCACCATCTATTCTTCATCAAAGTCCCCAGATACCACCAACCTCAGCCTCTTGAATAGTTAAGTAGGGGCTGAGGTAGAGAACGGGGAGGGTTGACAGTGGGGGTGCAGGCAGAATGATGAGGGCTAGGAGGTGGACTGAACCCAGAAGAGAGAAAGGAAGGGATGGGAGCAGGAAAAGAAGATAGGGGGCCTTCTCACCCTTTGCTTGAATTCAGACTTCTCCTCCAGGGTCATGGTGTCAGCCTTAGCGATGACAGGGATAATGTTCACGACCTTGCTGAGGTGTTTCATGAACTCAAGATCCAGAGGTCGCAAGCTGGGACCCAGAAAAAGCAGGATTGTCAGAACCACCTTGTCCTCCCCAACTCGCCCACCGCCACCACTCCAGGGCACCCGTGGGAGAAGAGGACTGGGCTGGGCAACTGGCTGAGGCCAAGAGGCTGCTCTCTCCTCTCCCATACAGCCCCACTGCCTTGCTGTCTGCAGAGCCGCCTCACCACCTGCGTGTTCTTCTCCGGTTCCTGTGCAGAGCCTGCCTCTGTTTAAGCCCCTCAAACCACCCCTTCATGACATATTTTCTGACTTAGGGATTTCTTTCTCCTGGGAGTATCTGTGGACTATTGTCTCTACTCATATGTCCTTGCACATGTGTGTCTTTTTTCCTTGTCTGTCTCAAAAAAAAAATGACATTTGTCTGTGTGTGTGTGTGCGTGTGTGTGTATGTGTGTTTTCTTTTGAGACACGGTCTTGCTTTGCCGCCCAGGCTGGAGTGCAGTGGTATGATCATTGGCTCACTGCTGTCTCGACCTCCAGGGCTCCAGCGATCTTCCCACCTCAGCCTTCAGAGGAGCTCAGACCACAGGCACACACCACCATGTCTGGCTAATTTTTTAATTTTTGTAGAGACAATGTCTTACCGCGTTGCCTAGGCTAGGCTTGAACTCCTGGGCTCAAGCGATCTTTCTGCCTTGGCTTCCCAAAGCGCTGGGATTATAGGTGATAGTCACCACACCCAGTGTGTATGTCTTATTCTGCCTATCAGACAGTACTTCTTGATGGGTCTCCTCCCAGCCCCCAGAGTTAGTCTTGCATGGTCAAGTTGGGGCCCTTGCCCTCCCTACAGTCTGACAGACTATGCCCCCACCCTGCCTCAGGCTCTGAGACCCCAACTTGGCTCTATTTTGCAATCTGGGGAACTCATTAAGTCAGGCTATGTGATGGTTCATTATGACCGAGAGCCGAAGTCTCAGGAGGGAAAAAGCCAGCCTCCTGTTGAGTTCCTGGGCCTGGTCCAGAGGTCTTGTTTCATCTCTCTCCTCCCTCCACCATCACTTCCTGCTTCCTACAAAATTTGGGGCCTACCTTGCTTGTGCCATCCTCTGAAGTACTTAACCCTGGCCCAGCAGCTGGGCTGAGTCATGTTATGAGGCCCCCTCCCCCCATCTCTGTAGGAAGGTTGCTGGCTTGCCCCATGCAATGTCCATTCTCTGCCTGTTCTCAGCACTTCCTTCATGGGGCCTACCTGTCACTTACAATCAGAGTTCCCAGCATACTTGTGTGTGTCTTATTCTGCCTATCAGACAGTACTTCATGACAACAGTTGGCCTTTATCTCTGGACACACAATGCCTCACTCCAGGCTGGCACCTTCCAAATGCCTACAGCTGGGTCCCATACCCCTAAAAACACCAGCCCCAATCCAGGAGCCCTGCCCTGGCCTATTTCACCCTTCTTGCTGCTCCCTCGAACTCCAGTCCAAAGCAGGTATTTGGTGAATAAATGAAGTGCCCTCTTCTCACATATACCAACTCCTCTCTGCTGGTACAGTCATGCCGTGCTGCTGGGACACCAGTGGGCAGATATTGGTGGCTGATGGCTGATGTTGGACAGCCTGTGTGTGTGTATGCACGCACGCTTCTCCTAGCAAGACAGTCAGACCTCCTCATGGAAAGTCTGAGGAATCCCAAGGTCACAGGCCATAACAATATTCCAGACCTCCTGGCCCTCCCTAGCTGAGTCAAGGTATGGATCATCCAATCCAGAATGGGCACAGATGATGCAAACCAGACCAGGCCTGGCAATAGGAGTGGGGTTGGTACATACGAGTGTCCTGTGGGGGAGATGAAGTAAAGGCAGCAGTGGACACGAGTGTCAGGGATGCGTTTCTTCCTGGCGATATTCACCTCCTCCTTCAGGAACTTCTCGTACTGCTCATTGATGTACTTCTCAATGGGCTCCCAGCTGAGGGTGGGAAAAAGTAGATGGATATGTCAGAAGAACAAGACTAGGGCTCAGCTTAGGCATGGTCCGGTAGCAATCTCCTTCCATCCATCTCATTCCCTGGTGGGCCTAGAATACCTGCTGCCAAATTCCCCCTCAGCCCCCATATGGATGGCTTTCCTAGATGGTTAGTTAGCAGGGGCGGAGCTCCCCAGGAACTGCAGAGCATGGAGGGTACAGATAGTTCTCAATGTGAATGAATCTGCACCATAGTATCTTCCCAGCAGTCTTTAGGGCAAAGATCTCAGAGGCAGACAGATACCAGTTTTCATTGTTGATTTGGTCTCCAAAGCCCGGGGTATCGATGACAGTCAGCTTCATTTTGACACCACCTTCCTCTATCACTGGGGGTGAAAAGAAAATGTACCAGAGAGGTCATTCCTACAGCTGACCCTAGGTAACTGGCAGCCTACTAGCTAGGGAGACCCAGGTCTGTTCTTCAGGATCAGTTATTGGAAAAATCAGATTTAGGGCCTTTTCTATCTTGATATCATGGCTCATGTTGTTCTCTGTACCTGGAATCTGGAATACCCTCTCTCTGCAGTGGTATAATCACAGCTCACTGCAGCCTCAAACTCCCAGCCTCAAGCAATCCCCTCCCCTCAACCTCCCCAATAGCTAGGACTACAGGTGTGCACCATCATACCCAGCTATTTCTTTTTTAAGAGACAGGGTTTCAGCCTGGTGCGGTGGCTCATGCCTGTAATCCCAGCACTTTGGGAGGCTGAGCTGGGCTGATCACAAGGTCAGGAGTTCAAGACCAGCCTCGCCTATATGGTGAAACTCCATCTCTAGTAAAAAAACAAAATTAGCTGGGCATGGTGGTGCATGCCTGTAGTCCCAGTTACTCGGGAGGCTGAGGCAGAAGAATCACTTGAACCTGGGAGGCGGAGGTTGCAGTAAGCCAGGATCACACCACTGTACTCCAGCCTGGGCGACAGAGCGAGACTCCATTTCAAAATAAATAAAAAAATAAAAGAGACAGGGTTTCACTGTGTTGACCAAGATGGCCTCAAACTCCCTGCCTCAAGTGATCCTCCCACTTTGGCCTCCTGAAGTGCTGGCTCACAGGCATGAGCCACTGCACCCACCCTCTCACCTCTTTCTACCTGTCTGAATCCTACTTGGCTTTATCATCCAGCTCAAGTCCCACTTCCTTCCATTCTAGCTCCCTGCTCTCTCTTCCCTGAACCAGCAGTCTAAGGAGTTTACTTCAGAGTGCAATGCTAAAGTCTATTCTTCTTAAGGTTGCCTTTCATTGGTCCTATTCCTCAATAAACCCCAATCTTTCCCCTTTGCAGCAGAGGCACTCACTGCAAAGCCCATAGGGCCCTGCGTGGTCCTCACCATGCCCAATAGCTTTGATCTCCACCGTCTTGGGGATCTTCTCCTCCCGGTTCCAGCTGGAGGCCTTGCGGCTCACTTGGGATTTGAAGAGCGTGTTGACCAATGTTGATTTGCCCAGTCCACTCTGGCCTACAGCAAAGCAGAAAGAGAAGATAGGGAGACTCTGCATCCACCTTCTGAGCCTAATACCTCCCCATAAGCTTACAGAATTCTAGAGCCATCTTCCAGGCCAACACCTTGTCTGACCACTCACTGGGGGATGGCCAGGCTGAGTGGGGAGGGCAGGCAGGTGGGAACGACTTCCTGCTTACTGCAGAGAGCCTTGGGGAAACATCAACTGGATTCCATATTCTCTCCTTCCCAGAGCCTGAGGACCACTGGGAAAGAAGACGACCTCTGCATATGTGTAGTGTCATGTTTTCTGTTTTGGTGTGATTCAGTTTTTTGCTTAGGTTTTCACTTTGGTTTTGTTTTTGTTTTGAGATAGAGTCTTGCTCTGTCACCCAGGCTGGAGTACAGTGGCGCAATCTCAGCTCACTGCAACCTCTGCCTTCTGGATTCAAGTGATTCTCCTGCCTCCTAAGTAGCTGGGACTACAGGCATGTGTCACCACACCCAGCTAATTTTTTGTTTGTTTGTTTGTTTGTTTAGAAAGGATGCGGCTTCACCATAATGGCCAGGCTGGTCTTGTACATCTGACCTCATGATCCACCCGCCTCGGCCTCCCAAAGTGCTGGGATTACAGGGGTGAGCCACAAAGCCAGGTGTAGGTTTTGTTTTAATGATACTAAAAGGATAAATAGAATTAATAGAATTACTTTGTATCCTGATACTGCCTCACAGTGCATATTAGACATTCACATTTGTTAGCCAAATTCATCTTTATATCAGCCCTGTGGATCCTGAAGCAGAACTATCTTTATCCTCAGTCGAAATGGTCCCAGAGAGATGAATCATCTTCTAACAAAATATGTGCAGAGCAACATAACTAATACATGCAAGACCAGGAAATTTAACCCAAAGAATGTCTTGGCTCTATATCCACTCTTCATTCTAATGTACCGGTTTTTAGATTATACTTCCAGAAGCCCTAGTGTCCTGTGAAAATACATGCCAGAGAAGGCACTGTGAGAGGTGGAGGAGGCTGGGCAGACAGGGCCACAGCCTCTGCCTCCACTTCCTTCTCCATGGCTCCCTTTTCACCTGTTTTCCACAAGCATATCTGCTGAAAATTTCATTTCGAGGTAAAGTTTCACGGCTAAAGAGCATTTGAAAACTACTGGTCAGGCTGGGCACAATGGCTCACGCCTGTAATCCCAGCACTTTGGGTGGCTGAGTTGGGCAGATCACTTGAGGCCAGGGGTTTGAGACCAGCCTTGCCAACATGGCAAAACCCCATCTCTACTAAAAATACAAAAATTAGCTGGACGTGGAGGCACATGCCTGTAGTCCCAGCTACTGAGGAGGCTGAGGATCACTTGAACTCAGGAGGTGGAGGTTGCAGTGAGCCAGGAATGCGCAACTGCACTCCAGCCTGGGCAACAGAGCAATACTCTGTCTCAAAAAAATAAATAAATAAAAGAAACCCACTGGTCTAAGCAGTGCTTCTCAAACTTCAACTTGTACAAGAATCCCACGAGAAAGACTTGCAATGAAAAAGCAGCCTCAGTATTGCCCAGACACTGGTAGGAAATGCAGACTCTCAGCCCCTACCCGAGACCTGTGATTCCAAATCTGCATTTTCACTGGGATTCCAGAAGAGTCATGTAGACAGTAAGTGATTCTTACTGGACTGGTGCATTCTTGTGATTATATTAGAAAAAGAACCAGGCTAGGGGACAAAGGCTTAGAGTTCCAGACGTGCGTTGTTTTCCCTGAATGCCGTTGTATTAGTCACGCCTTGGTTTCTTTACTGATAGGATGATAAGAAGAGAGGAAATTGGACAAGACTAGGGATGGTAAACAAGGTGCATTTCTCATTCCTGCTGATGAGCTGGTAGTAGCCACCTAGACCATTATGTTAATAAGGCTACCTCTGGGCTGGGCGCGGTGGCTCAAGCCTGTAATCCCAGCACTTTGGGAGGCCGAGGCGGGTGGATCATGAGGTCAAGAGATCAAGACCATCCTGGTCAACAGGGTGAAACCCCGTCTCTACTAAAAACACAAAAACTAGCTGGGCATGGTGGCACGTGCCTGTAATCCCAGCTACTCAGGAGGCTGAGGCAGGAGAATTGCCTGAACCCAGGAGGCGGAGGTTGCGGTGAGCCGAGATCGCGCCATTGCACTCCAGCCTGGGTAACAAGAGCGAAACTCCGTCTCAAAAAAAAAAAAAGGCTACCTCTGGGCTCAGCACTGAACATGTGCGATGACTAACCGGCAGTCTGCCATGGGCACCAGTGGGGAGAGAAGTAAGTGGCTCATGGATCTTGGATTTGCCATGCTTGCTCTGAGATTTCATTTTTTTTTTTTTTTTTTTTGAGATGGAGTCTTGCTCTGTCATCCAGGCTGGAGAGCAGTGGCATGATCTCCACTCACAGCAACCTCCACCTCCCAGGTTCAAGTGATTCTTCTGCCTCAGCCTCCCGAGTAGCTGGGACTACAGGCACATGCCACCACACCCAGCTACTTTTTGTATTTTTAGTAGAGATAGTTTTCACTATGTTGGCTAAGCTGGTCTCAAACTCCTGACTTCAGGTGATCCACCCGCCTCAGCCTCCCAAAGTGCTGGGATTACAGGCGTGAACCGCTGCACCCGGCCTCTGAGATGTCTTCTAAGAGCATTCGTTCATTAATTATTCTTAGGTGCCAAGTGCTGTCCTAGAAGTTGGAGGTATTGTGGTAAACATGACATCAGCCTTACCCTCAAGGAGCTGTTCAGTGTGAGAAACCAAAACATAAGCAGGCAATTACAGTATGTTGCAATAACCACTATGAAAAAGGGTAACCACAGGGTATCAAAACAGCATTGCAAAGGGAATCCAACCCAGTCTCTCTGAGACCAAGGAAGGTTTCCAGAGAAATGCAACTAAGCTGAAACCTGAAGGTGGATTTCAAAAGAGTCATGAGTTCTAGCCAGAAGGAACAGCATATGCAGAAGCTGTTTTTCTAGGGTAGGAAAGAGCATGGCATGTGGAGGGGCACTGTCCCTTATGACTGAGGAGTAGAATGGTAGGTGAGAAGTGGTCATGCTAGGCCCATCTAGCATGGGAATGCTAGATGAGTTAGAGAGGTAGCAGCAGGACAGTCTAAGAGTTTAAACTTATCCTAAGGTTAAAGGAGAGTTATTACAGAGTTTTAAGCAGGATGGGTGACTTGATAAGTTTTGCAAGGTGGACAGATTATTTGGTCACTGGTGGACAAGGGACTGGAGAGGAAAGGAGACAGAGAACCAGGAGGGTTGCTGCTACTCTTGAGTGTGGGCTGTAGTGGCCCAGCTGCCAGGGACCCTGAATCATTTGCTACTAGTTCTTGAGATAAGAAGTCGGCCTTGGCCGGGCGCAGTGGCTCACGCCTGTAATCCCAGCACTTTGGGAGGCCGAGGCGGGTGGATCACAAGGTCAAGAGATCGAGACCATCCTGGTCAATATGGTGAAACCCCGTCTCTACTAAAAATACAAAAAATTAGCTGGGCATGGTGGTGCGTGCCTGTAATCCCAGCTACTCAGGAGGCTGAGGCAGGAGAATTGCCTGAATCCAGGAGGCGGAGGTTGCGGTGAGCCGAGATCGCGCCATTGCACTCCAGCCTGGGCAACAAGAGCGAAGCTCCGTCTCAAAAAAAAAAAAAAAAGTCGGCTTCAGGAGAGAAATCTACCATGTCATTGAGAACACTGTTTAGCCCTGCTGAGGTATTTTATAGCAAGACTTTCCAGATGATTTATACTTGCCCAAGCACAAGCTGAGCTTATCTTGCTGCAGGTCAGCACTTTGACAGCACAGAGTCAGGTGGCCACAGCAGGCCAGGTGAGAGACCTCGCTCAGCATAGGGTGGCAGCAGGAGAGAGGAGAGAAGTGGGCAAACATAAGAGATATTTACCAGGTAAAATGGATAAGACTGGGTGACTGATTAGATTGGGGGACGAACGAGTAAGAGGACAGAAGGGTGATGCCAAACTCCTATTTCAGCACTGACTAGACATCTCACTAAGATGTGGTAAAGGTCCCTTCCTACTCTTACATTCTGTGACACAGTGATGCTCCTCAGTGACAAAATCCCTGGAAATTCAAAGTTTTAAAGCACTACACAAGATCAGAAATAAGACCACCCTTCATCCAATCCTCCCACAAGCTCCTAGAGGTAGGAAAATACATTGATTCTCTCATGTCACAAACCCAAAAGCGGGCTCAGCATGATGATGGGGCTACCTGTGTACACCCAGCTGGTGATGGGGCCACGCTGACATCCACCCAAAGCTCCTACCCCTGGGTCAGCTAGTCTTAAGGGGAAAAGGGGTCAGGCCTTTGTGGTCAGCATGGTGAAATTCTCCCTTCTATAAACGGCTCATCTTAGGAGAGCCAGGATCACAGCCATTCAGGGGAAAGAAATGGGATCCTCAGTGCTGCCCGCCACCAGGCCTGCAGCAGCCCCACGGCCTTCCGTACCAACAACCATGATGTTGAAGTCGAACCCAGTCTTCATGGTCTTCTTCCGCATCTGCTCGATGATGGTGTCGATGCCGATGTAGCCCAGCAGGTTGGAGTTGATGCTCACGGGCTTCATAGGCACCGCTGGCTTAGGCCTGGGTTCAGGCACCAGCTCTGACATGGCTGTGTCCGTCCTGGTCTCTGGGAGCCCTGCAGAGACAAGGCGGGAGGGGTCGGAGGGGTGACAGGAGGACAGCAGAGGTCACATGGAAGCCATGGTATTTTTCTCTTGCTACAGAATCATACAAAGCTGGGCCTTAATGGAAGGGATCTTAATGTCATCCAGTCCAGGTCCCTCATTTCATAGATGAAGAGACTGAGGCCTGGAAGAGAAAGAACTCACCTAAGAATACAGAGCAGGTCAGAGGCAAAATCTGGGCCAGTGCCAGGTTCTCTGGTTGCTGGGCACTTTTTTTTTTTGAGATGTAGTTTTGCTCTTGTTGCCCAGGCTGGAGTGCAGTGGCACACTCTCAGCTTACTGCAACCTCTGCCTCCCGGGTTCAAGTGATTCTCCTGTCTCAGCCTCCCAAGTAGCTGGGATTATAGGTGCTCACCACCATGCCTGGCTAATTTTTTGTATTTTTAGTAGAGACGGGGTTTCACCGTGTTGGCCAGGTTGCTCTCAACCCCTGACCTCAGGTGATCTACCCGCCTCAGCCTCTCAAAGTGCAGGGATTACAGGTGCGAGCCGCTGCGCCTGGCCTGATGAGCACTTTCAAATGCACCTCACTGCTCCAAAGTCCACATCTCTGTGTCTAGCCCAGGGGCTTCTCCATCTTGGCACTAATGACGTTTGAGTAATTCTTTATTATGGGAGGCTGACACGTGTATTCCAGGATAATTAGTGTCATCCGTGACCTTAGTAGCCCCCCAGGTTGTGACACTCCAAAATGTCTCTAGACAGTACCAAATGTCCCCTGGGAGGCACCATTGCCCTGCCTGAGAACCACTGGTCTAAGAAGTATCTGGGGTTATTCGGATCTGAGTCATGACTCCCTCCTTGAATAAAGGGCAAAGACTTTTTAGGATCCTGCACTAACATCTATTGACTGTCACTGACCTTGGCTGCTTCATCTTTTAGAAGCAAACAGGGAGGCCTGGTGCGGTCGCTCACGCCTGTAATCCCAGCACTTTGGGAGGCTGAGGCGGGTGGATCATCTTAGGTCAGGAGTTCAAGACCAGCCTGGCCAACATGGTGAAATCCAGTCTCTACTAAAAATAATAAAAATTAGCTGGGTGTGGTGGCAGTGCCTGTAATCCCAGCGACTCAGGAGGCTGAGGCAGGAGAATCACTTGAACACAGGAGGCGGAGGTTGCAGTGAGCCAAGATCAAGCCATTGCACTCCAGCCTGGGCAACAAGAGTGAAACTCTGTTAAAAAAAAAAAAAAAAAAAGCAAAAAAACCAGCAGCAGCAAACAGGTCTACTCTTCTCTGAAGAGTGGCCATCACTCCTGTCTCTTAGCCTCGGTGTCCCCTCTGTGCCATGAGCATCACTGCAGAGTAGAGGTGTCTGTACCTGGAAGAGCCCCAGATACCCTCCCAGTTATTGTTCTGAATCTGTGGGACCAGCAGGGAAGGGATGAGAACCAGATGAGGCGGTCACTTGCCTAAGACGACACAGTGTACTCTTGGAGTGGTAGATGGCAGATGAAAGGGAAGGCGGAGGAACCAGTCTCTCCCCAGTGGGGAAGGTCAACATCCCCCTGGCTCTAGTGGATCATGGGTGTGTTCACACACAGAAGAAATCTGTGGGTTTCCTTATCAGGCCACTGTCCACCAGGGTTGGTTCTAGAAAAGAGCACCTCCATTTCCCCATCTATACAATGGGGGTGTGCGGTGAAGTGGAAAGAGCCTGGCTCTGTTGCTTGTTAGCTTTGTGGACTTGGGAAGACCACCTCCCCACTAAGAGCCTGCGGCCTCCTCCATAAAATGGTAGGATCATCACTAAGACTGTGGTGAGCATTTATGAGATGTGATCCCTAGAAGCACGGACCAATGACCGGGCGTGGTGGCTCACACCTGTAATCCCAGCACTTTGGGAGGCCAAGGTGAATGGATCTCCTGAGGTCAGGAGTTCGAGACTAGCCTGGCCAACATGGTGAAACCCCATCTCTACTAAAAATACAAAAAAGTAGCTGGATGTGGTGGCAGGAGCCTGTAATCCCAACTACTTAGGAGGCTGAGGCAGGAGAATCACTTGAACCCGGGAGGTGGAGGTTACAGTGAACCTAGATCAGGCCATTGCACTCCAGCCTGGGAAACAAGAGCAAAACTCTGTCTCAAAAAAAAAAAAAAAAAAAAAAAAAAACCGCCGGGAGCGGTGGCTCAAGCCTGTAATCCCAGCACTTTGGGAGGCTGAGGCGGGCAGATCACGAGGTCAAGAGATCAAGACCATCCCGGTCAACATGGTGAAACCCTGTCTCTACTAAAAAGTACAAAAAATTAGCTGGGCATGGTGGCGTGTGCCTGTAATCCCAGCTACTCAGGAGGCTGAGGCAGGAGAATTGCCTGAACCCAGGAGGCGGAGGTTGCGGTGAGCCGAGATCGCGCCATTGCACTCCAGGCTGGGTAACAAGAACGAAACTCTGTCTCAGAAAAAACAAACAAAAAAAAAAACAAACGAGCACTGAGCAATATCTTACAGTACCAGACACTTTTGCCCCTGTCCCTTTCAGGTCTGTAGGGGAAATGAAACAATGCATGTGAAAGCACTGGTTAAAGGGAGGTGTCTCCAGATGCTAGTTACACAACCCTGGTTATTGGACTCCATGTACTCTTGAGGACACCTTCCAGCTCTGCCGTTCTAGAATCCTATGGTTCATGACTAACACCCTGCAGAGTCTCAACCTTACAGGGAGGCCTGATGGAGCAGCAGATGGGCGGGAGAGAGAGAGGACAGCAGTGTTCCCTTCCCAACCCTAAACCCAGCCAGGAGTCTGCTCTCATCACCCTCCACCTGGTCCTTCCACCGGTACTGGCAAGACCCTCTCTCCCGATGGAAAACTGTTCTTTCTTCTGTCATTCCCAGGCACAGCCAAATCTGCCAAAGCCTCAGGAGCGCCCCCCCCCCCCCCCGCCAGGGCCTGGCATAGCTCCCTCTTGCTTCCCAGGAAGCTGTTGCCAACCAGGCAGCTCCAGACGGCAGCAAGATTGGCTCAGCCCTGCAGCAGCTGACTCTCAGCAGCCTAGCCCTGCTCCTCCACTCTTGCACGTGGCTCACAGGCCCCACTCAGCACACCTGCACTGGGACCAATGCCCCATTTTTCCTGCCCAGCTGCTCACACAGACTGGGCCTTTCCATTGCCCCTCATGCTTCTGCAGCTGAGCCCATTTTGTCTTAACCTGTGTTATGAGATAGAGCCACATGGTTGGGGGTGGGGAGTGTCTTATCCCCATTTTACAGACTTGGAACGTAAGTATTGTATTTACTTGAGAGGTACTGTCAGGATTCTTACAAAGTGTGTGTTCTCGCCATGGCCTGCTCAGCCCTGGCCTGTCAACTGCAGCATCCTAAAACAGCACACCCAAAAGACAGACCCTGATCGAGAGAGGGTCCTACCAGAGTCCCAAGCAGCTTCTAGGAGCTACTGCAGGCCGGCTGCAGGACCAAGACCTGGTAGATCTCACTTTCATTCCTCCAGCAAGCACCTATAAGCACCCATTGTGTGCACTCTACAGAGCACCTGCTGGCAAGTCAGCCTCCCCACCACACACCAATGACATACCAGTCATGTGCTAACAAGCCACCCAACAGCCACAAGTACGGCACATGTTTGCAGGTCACTGTGCCACAAGCTTTGCTAGAAGATCCCATTCCCCCTCCAACCTCTGGCTCACTCCTCCTCCTCCAACATTCAGCTCCAGTGCTACTCCCAGGAAAGCCTTTGCTTTGCTATCTGATGTGGATGGCCCTCTTCTATGCCCACTGCAGGTATTCTGTTACTCTTCACATTCACTCATTCATTCATTCCATCCCATCCAGGCCATTTCATATGCTGTCAAATGGGGGCCTACACCAGCCAAACCCTAGACTAAATGCCAAGGACACTTATGTACCCTAGACAAGGTTGTTGCCCTCGAGGGCCCATCGTCTGGTAAGGATGCCTGACAAATACACAAAGACCTCTGGGGCACACAACAAATGCTGCTCTGGAGCTAGATTCTGTAGCTCCATCCTCTGCCCCTACAGCTCCCCTGGTACCACCATGTCAACCTCAGATGGGCAGGTGACCCAGGCTTGAATCCTGGCTAGGTGACCCTTGTGAGGCTCATTTTTCTGCTGAGAAAAGTGGGGCTAGAACCTACCTTGCAGGGTTGCTGTGAAGGTTATATAGAAACAAGGGTATGAATTATCTGGCACAACTACGTGTTAGTTCTCACCCTTCTTTAGGGCAGGGCCATGTCTTATTGATCTCTGTGCCCCAGTTTACCTAGCATACCACTCATCATTCATTCATTCAGATCATGAATGAATGAATGAGTGAATGAGAGCCGCAGGGTGAGGCGGGTGTCAGAGACCTGCCTTTCTCTTCCCTCAGATACTTCTCCCCATACAGAGCCTCACCTTTCTCTTCCCTCGGATACTTCTCCCCATACAGAGCAGCCGACCTCCAGAGAGCAATGGCTGTTGTCTCCGCCACAGTCAAGGGGGTAGAATTGTTAAGACCTCCTCCTTCCTCTGCAACAAGGATTGGAGGGGGGTTCCCCAAGGGTGGGGAAGAGCTCAGGTTGGGGTCACAGCAGGGTGCAGCTCAAGTCTGCCATCCTGTCTAGAGGGTCCTTGGGGTTCCCCTCAACTCCTGGCTCTCCCAGGGCCCCTGGAGAAGGGGGATCTGCCTCCAGCACCCTCTGCCAGAAGCTACCTGCCCTGTCAGTGCTCCAGGGAGAGGCACCATCCACCTGACTCAGGGCGGTCAAGTCCTCCACAGAAGCAGTCCCTCCATTCCCATGCTAACCAAAGACCCTGGCACTTCCTTTTACAGGCAAATGAATGGCTTTGCTTTGTCTGGCCCAGGGACCCCACCCCTCTGTTGGGAAGGTGGTAGCTGGGGGAGGAGACCTTTCCAAAATACCACCTGCTTAGTGCAGGACCCCCTCTTCCTTCTGCCCTGAAGGGGGGTCTTCCTCAGCCCCCAGCGGCCTTCAAGACCCCACCACCACCCACAGAGGCAATTCCAGCCCACCCCAGCTCCAGCCCTGGGCTCTGAGAAAAGGAATCACGAAAGCTCCCTGGGTCCTTTCCCACTGGCAGGAGCAGAGGGCCCTGGGACACCCCTTCCCCCATCCCAGTCCTCTGGAGGCCAATGGGTTCCCTTGGAGACCACCAGCTGGTGCCTGTCTCAGCGTGTGCCTGTGGGGGCTGGGAGGGAGGGGACGTGTGTGTCAGTGCACAGGTCTCTCATCCGGCTGGCATGGCCCTGGCACCTGTGCGTGTGCGTGTGCGTGTCTTGGTGTACTCCAGCCTGGGGCTTTCTGTGCGCATCTGGGTCCCTGCTTGCGTGTCCGTGGGTCCCTGCGTCTCCCCGCGTCCTGTGTCTGTTGTCTCCGAGACTGTCTCTCGAGGTGGGTGCCACCGTGCGTGCGTGTGTCCGTGCATCTGTCACCGCGCGTGGGATCCTCGGCGCGGAAACCCTCCCCCGGGGAGCGCCTCCGGCCGCGCTGGCCGGGGCCGCAGCCCACTCCTGGCGGGTTCCGGTGGCCCTGCCGGCCGCCCTACCTTTGGACATGAATCCTCCTTTGTTTCCGTTCCTCCAAGGAGATGCTCCCGGCGCGGGGCTGCAAGGCTGAGCGGGGCGCGGGCTCCCCCGGGCCGAGCGGCCCCTGCAGCCAGGCCTCGCCCCTCCGCGCTTTCCGCCCACCCGCCCGGCCCGCGGCCCCGCCGCGCCGCCCGTGCGCCCCGCGCCGCCGCGCCCGCCAGGGACCTCGCCTCGGCTCGCTCGGCGCCGCGCCGCTCCTGTCCGCGCGCACGGTTGCCGCCGCCGCCAGCCGCCGCCGCTGCTGCCACCCGCACCACGTGACCGCGCGCCCGCCGGCCCCGCCGATGGCCCCTCCCCCTCCCGCACGCGGGAACGGGCCCCAGGTCCAGGCTGCGGGCGGCCCAGGAGCCGCGCACGCGGGCTCCAGGTGCCCGGCCCGGAAAAGTGCCCGCATCTCAGTCCCTTCTCTCCCGCTGGGTCCGCTCCTGGCCCCTTACCCGCTAGGCTGCGGTGGGGCCGGGCGGGTGGGCGCAGGGGACCAGTGGCAGCTGCGGGCGGCCGTGCGCGCGCGTGAGTCACGCGGGGGCTGGAGTGTTGCGCGGGTGCTTGTAGAGCCCTGAGTCAGGGGGCCCGGGTTCCAGGCCCTTCTCCGGGATGATGAACCAATAACCTTGAGCCAGCCAGGAACTTGCCTGAGCCTCAATTTGCCCATTAGAAAAAAATTGTATGCATTCAGTGGACACTAGCCAGGCCCTGGGAGCACAAGGGTGAGGACAACCATCCCTGCCCTCGAAGGTTCTGGGTCTAGTAGAGGAAACAGGAAGCTGGAATGTCCTAACGCAGTGGCTGGGGTTCACGCAGAGGACTGAGGGTGCAGGCAGGTGGGCACCCTGGGGAGAGGGGCTTGGAAGACTTCTTGGAGGAGGTGAGAGCTGGATGGAAAGGCAAATGGGAGTGGGAGGGAAAAAGGGAGAAGGAGAGGCATTCTGCAAAGAGAGGGCAGCAGAGGTTAGGGGACCCTGGGGTGAGAGCTGCGTGTTGCTGGTGGACAGCCCGCAGCCCTTGGTGTGGCTGAAGCAGAGAAAATTCCAGACAGGTATGTACAGCTAAATAAGAGGCTGGAGAAGTCCGCACACAGTCTTGGAAGCTGGACTTTAACAGAAGGTAATGGTGAATCACTGACGAATATTAAGCTGAAAGTGCTGCCATTCAGTATGTGAGTCCTTGCAACAGTTGTGTGGACAGGGGTGGAGCCGGTGGGTGGAGGCTGGCCTCCTGGGGCAGAAGGATGGAGAAGAGGGGACAGCCAGCTAGGTACTTGAGTACTGAGGAGGTAAATCAACAAGGTGGGAAGTAGACTGGATGAGATGGCAAGAGAGAGATGAGGAAAAAGAGGATACCCGGGTTTCAAGGCACTGGACAGAAGGTAGGTGATGCCTATAGCTGAGTGAGATCAGGGAGGCAGGAGTCAGTTCAAGAAGAAAAGGGCTACCTCTCGACATGCCCGTGAGACATGCGCGAGACACCAGCCTAGCAGGCTGCCTAGCTGCCCACATTGGCACTTGAGACAGGGCTGGGCTGCAGATGGAGGGAGAGCTGAGGTCTCATAGGGAGAAGTGAAGACGACAGCCTAGGTGAGGTGCCCAGACTGAGTATGTGGGATGAAGGGAAAGGGGTCTAACAATCTAAAGCATCAATTCTGGTGTGAGACTGAATGCCTTCCAGGCACCTTTCCAGACCTAGAAACTCTGAGCCCTTGAAATGCTGGGAATGAGGCTGCCCAAAGTAGAAATTCCAACAATCTGGATTCCAATCAGCTTACTGCCACCAGCCAGCTTTGATGTGACTTTAGGCATGTCACAGGCTTTCCAAGACCAAATGAATGTCCAGCCCTTGTGTTGGCCTGTTTAGTGTGTAGGACTTCCATATGTACAAGGGGCTGGGGGTGGGGAACCAAGAAAGAGGCATCCAGGCAAGGCACCTTTTAAGCAACAGATACCTTCCTAAAAGGCAGAGTGTAAACGGATTTGGAAAGTCTCGGGTGAGGTCATTATCTCACATCCAGAGGAGGCTGCAGGGACTATTAGACAAATCACCACTTCCTAAAATGCTAGTCAGTATTTTCACATAAGAGGTTTGCTTCTTTTTTTCTTTTTCTTTTTTTTGGAGACAGAGTTTTGCTCTGTTGCCCAGGCTGGAGTGCAGTGGCGCAATCTTGGCTCACTGCAACCTCTGCCTCCCAGATTCAAGCAATTCTCTGCCTCTGCCTCTGGAGTAGCTGGAATTACAGGTGCCTGCCACCACACTGGGCTAATTTTTTGTACTTTTAGTAGAGACAGGGTTTCACCATCTTGGCCAGGCTGATCTTGAACTCCTGACCTCGTGATCCACCCGCCTAGGCTTCCCTAAGTGCTGGGATTAGAGGCATGAGCCTCTTCGCCTGGCTGGAGGCTTGCTTTTAAAGCTGTACTCACCTACTCATCACCTGATTATTCCAGCTCTTCAGGGAACAAAGAAACAACTCCAGGAGATGCTAAAAGGAGGATTCACCAATTGCTCCTCCACAAGTTATCCCTCTAAACCTTTCTTTCTCTCTCTCTCTCTCTCTACCCAGGCTGGAGTGCAGTGGCTCAATCTCGGCTCACTGCGACCTCCACTTCCTGGGTTCAAGCATTTCTACCACCTCAGCCTCCCCAGTAGCTGGGACCACAAATGCATGCCACCATGCCTGCTAATTTTGTATTTTATTTTATCTTATTTTTTGAGACAGAGTCTCACTCTGTCACCCAGGCTGGAGTGCAGTATCATGATCTAGGCTTACTGTAGCCTCCACCTCCCAGGTTCAAGCACTTCTTGTGCCTCAGCCTCCCAAGTAGCTGGAACTACAGGCATGTGCCAACACGCCCGGCTAATTTTTGTATTTTTAGTAGAGATGGGGGATCAGCATGTTGGCCAGGCTGGTCTTGAACTCCTGACCTCAAGTGATCCACCTGCCTTGGCCTCGCAAAGTGCTAGGATTACAGGCATGAGCCACTGCCCCTGGCCCTTATTTTTTACAGAGACAGTCTCACCATGTTGCCCAAGCTGGTCTTGAACTCCGGCGCTCAAGCAGTCTTCCCATCACTCAAGCAGTCCTCCCATCTCAGCCTCCCAAAATGCTGGAATTACAGGCATGAGCCACCACACCTGGCCAAAACCTTCTTTCTGATACTTTCTCTCAGCCTGACCTCAGACTGGCAGGTTAGAACCCAGCTCAGAGTACAGCCCCTATGTCCAGCCCTAAAACCTTATTTCCTTTTCTCCCAACCCATTCAACTCTGACCTTAGAGTCCTTTCTCCCTTTCCCAACCCATGCAAGCAAGATCCATCTCCAAGCTCGTACACCTCCACCCCCACCTGCAGCCTAGTCCATCCCCAACCAAATTTCTGCATTTACCTTTGGATTCTGTGGCCAGGTCCAGTGTGGCAGGCTCTGTGGCTCCATCCATGGAAGCATTAGTGTGGTCCAGGGCTGGGACTGTGCATCTGCTTGGCATCACCAGACGTGTAGGAACATCTGATATGGTCAGGTTATTAACACTGCCCAGTGTGTTCTTCCCAGTGGCTGGGTCTGGGGTTACTGGCACAACCAAACCCACAGCTGTGCCCTTCCTGCTTGTGTCCAAAGCAAGATAATTCATAGCCAAGCCCAGCTTGGTTCTGTTTGCTCTGGCCAAAGCCATGGCTGTTTCCAACCTAGTGGTGCCCACTGTCTCTGTGATTGTGTCCAGCTTGAGTGGGTCTGATGTTGCCGAATCCATGGCTGTGCCCTCTGTGGTCATACCTGGCTTGGCTGTGCTTCTTGTAGCCATGGCTTTGTCCAGCTTGTCTGGGTCTGAGGCTATCAAATCCATGACCATGCCTGGCTTGGTTGTCTGTACTGTAGTCAGATTCATGGCTGTGCCTGGCTTGATTGTGCCTGCTGTAGCCAAGTTCATGGCTTTGCCCGACTTGACTATCCCTCCCGAAGACAAGTCACTGGCTGTGCCCAGCTTGATATCCAGAGCAGGGAACTCTGTGCCTGTGTCCAGTCTGGATGTGTTTGGTGTCGCTAAACTGATAGCCAAGCTAGGTCTGTTGGTGGCCACTGTGGCTAAATGTCTGGCTGCGTCTGTCCTTGTGTCCACAGCAGTCAAATTCACAGCTTCAGTGGCCCTTTGGAGACGCCCCCGGGGTCTGGGGATACCCCTGGCCCGGGGCTTGCCTTTTCCTGGAGAAGCTCTGGTAGGCGTGTGGGCAGTCGCTGAGGCAAGGTGCCCCTGGCCCACTGAGCCTGGCTCTGCCAGGACTGGTGTGCTCTGGGCTAACCGGGCTTGGAAAGGTAAAGCCAGGTAGGAACTCACCAGGGGCTTCTCCGCGGCAGGTATCCTGCTGGATTTGGTCAGACCTGGGTTCTCTGGGCCCTCAGAGTGGACCCTGCCCCCTGGCACTAGGGTCACAGGTGGTGAGCCTGGCAAGGACAGCCTACCTCCTTCATGGGGAGCAGCCTTCCTTCCCGGGGTAGGCGACCCTTCCCAGTGAGAAAGTGGGTGATCCAGGGACCGTGCCTGGCTGTTCTGACGGAGCGTCAAGGAAATGGAGCTGAGCTTCCTGGGTACAAGGCTGCTGGTGGGCAGGGGACTCGAGGAAGCCCCCAGAGCAATGACCATCTCCTGTGGGGGCACACTCTGGGTCCTGGCTCCAAGGCCCAGCCGGCTGGAGGTGTGTGGAATATGGCTTTGGGGGAAGGTGTCCAGATGGATGGTCTTCCTGAGGACAGGGGTGAGCGGGGATCCCCCTCCAGGGAGTCTTGAGGGGCGGGTAGGGCGCCCTAGCACATGGCTACGGGAGAAAGAGGTTCTCGGGCCTGGAGCTCCGTGTGACTGCATCTCTGGAGGAGCAGGAGCAAAGTTGTGGTCCATCCAGGCCGTTTGTCTTTCCCTGAGGCAATCAACAGAGAGAAGGGGCCAGGCAGGGATGAGGAGCTCAGGTGTGGAGCTCTCAGCCCTCCCCTTCCTGACCAGCAGCTGAGCATTGCCAGGTCTAAAGGGGCCTGGTTCTGAGGACCATCCAGTCCTTAGTGGAAGAAACATGTAACTTCCTCCAGCCCTCCTATGGCTCCTAACTGCAGCAGACTGACCTGCACCTCATACCCACCCCATCCCTGGCCAGCCACCACACAGGAGGGTGGGCACATCCAGTGAGCAGGCTGCCTCCAGCATAGAGGAACTCAGGCCGGGCTTACATCTCCCTTTGCCTGGGCCTGATTGTGGCCCCTGTCTCTGTGGACAGCTCTGTGGAGGCCACATACACGTTCAGGGACTCCAGAGAAGGGCAGTGGTTACTGGAGACCGCTCTGCCTTTCTCTTCCAGAAAGAACCAAAGGGTTGTGGATTCCCACCCACAGCAGCCAGCTTAGGCGCTAGGAGCTCAGGTGTCTGGGATGAGGAGGATCAATTTGGCGTGGAGCCGCAGAACCAAGAACTGAGCTGACCTAGTGCTGGAGTCGGAAACAGAGCCAGCCCTGGAGAAGGTGAGGCTTCGGAAATGGAGAAGCAGTGAGTGTTCACAGAAGGAGGCTTATCCAGTGAACAAGCCACGGTCCCTGCCCTTGGAGAGCCTGCCACCCTCAGGGATGGCAGGCAAGGAAGTAGGTAGGCCTCCGCCAAGCTAAGCATTATGGGTAGGAAGGCAAGAGGCTAGACCTGAGCCAGGGCTATTCCTACAGACGGCCCGAAGATGCGAAACTGCGGCATCTTTCTGAAACTCCAACATGGGGCTCCTAGGCTGTATCTAGTGGGGAAGGGAGCACAAAGGCTTCAGGTGAGCTGGGGTCCAGGCCGGGATACAGCAATGCTCAGGCCAGGGAAGGTGACCCATCCAGATCTGCAGGAGGGAATGGCCACTCAGGAGCAGTGTGACAGAAAGACCAGAGGGGAACAGAATTGAAGCAAGGATCCCATGAGGACATAGTTGAAACTGTCTGCTTCATGGGATGTGGAAGGCGCAGGGCTAGGGCTGGAGGAGGCTGCATTGCACAGGAGTAGAAGTGGCAAGACTGTCTGGGGTAGGGAATGGGCACAAGGGTGTGTTGACAATGAAGCTCAGGATTCTGGCTGTGATCTTAGTAGATGGGCCACTCCTTCCTGCCACTCTGGACTCCATGTAACTCATTCTCTGGAACAAATTTTTTTTTTTTTTTTTTTTTTTTTTTTTTAACACAGCAGGCTAGGACCTGCAGCTTGGGGGACAAGGCCAGGGCTGGTGGGAGGATCCAGTTCCAGAGGGCTCATGGGGAGGGGAGTGATCACATAGCCAGGTCCTTGAGGTCTGGAGCAGGGACAGGGAAGGCAGGGCACCGTATGGGGAAGGCATCACCCCTCACCATGGTGCTCCCAGCCCCTCATCCCTCTCCAGCTATACATTTGTACCCAAGACTGTCCTGGCCGCCAACCCTTTCCCACCTGGCGTATCCCTGCAGCCCCGTGCACTCCTGCGCAACCAAATACACTTGGACACGCATGTTTGCCTTGCACTTAGCCACAAACAGCTCCCCTCAGTGTGCACACCCACACACAGAGAGCAGGCCAGAGGACAAGGTGTCCGAGGGTGTCACACAATCCCCATCCCCTCACTGCACTCCCATCTTCCATGGATTGCCTGGTCCTGTTCCCCCCATCCCCCCATCCCCCCCAACACAAACACCTACCTTGATCAGAGAACAAGAAGGATCCAGTGGGTCTAGGAAGCTGAGGCCCATGCAGGCTCCTCACCTCCCTTGCACCCAGAGACTGGATGTGGTGGCCGGCTTAGGGGCCTTGTCCCTCAGGTCTTCTCCTCAGGTCCTGCTCAGCTTCCAGGCCACAGTGCCCAGGCACAGGGCCCAGCCCTCTGCTGACTGTCCCACCAGCTACATCCCCGGAGACTGGGCTGGGCTGGGCTCTGGCACAGGGAGGGGCTGGCTTCCTAGGAGTGGGCGGCTGTGAATGGCTGCTCTGAGCCTCTGGAATCCTGAAGAGCCATGGGAGGCTGGTAACAGCCAGGCTGGCACTCATGGCCACCTGCGGGGTGGTTCCCTGCAGCCTGCCCTCTCCAAATTTGCTCTGCCTCCCACAGACTCTGATGCCTGGGGAGTGAGTCTGCAGTAAAAACAGGGGTACGCCAAATATGGCTGCACTCTGGTGGTCCCAGCACCAGTCTCTCTCTGGCTCTCCCTCTGGCTCTTCCTCTGTGCCCTTCATGCCCTGTTCAGCTCTGTAACCCTCAGACCATCTTGCCCACTCACCTGGTCTTTCCTCAACTGGGCTGGAGTTCCTGGAGGCTAAAGCTCCTTCAGCAACTATTTCCTGAGCTCCAGCTTGCTCCAGCCAGACCCTGTACCCAGCCCCTAAGGGTGTGAAGGAGACTCCTAGGTTTGCCCGTGAGGGGACCACAAAGCCACCCAGCCTGGCTCTAGCAATGCAGACTTTTAGCAGCACCTGCCTGCTGATGGATGGGAGCCCTCTTCTGTGTTCCAACAGCCCCTGGCTGCCTCTGTCATAGCATTGGTGATAATAATGATGGTGTTGATAATAGCTACCATTTCCTGAGCACTTGCTCTGTGCCCGGCACCATGCCAGGGCTGGGCAGAGCTCATAGTCTGCTAAGAAGATGGGTATATAAACAGATCCTATAGTACTATCCTCTACAGTAATGGCAGACATCCTCTGAGCACGCACCCTGAGTCAGGAACTAGGCTAAGCATTCTCCTGGCATCTCCTTTCATCTCTGCCTCATCACCTGCTTTTTGCCAAGGAGGACATTGCAGCCCACACAACACTGTGTTGTCTGGTCTGCTCTCCTGTGCATCTCTCTCTTTAGCAAGTGAGCTTCTTAAGCTGCACTGGGCAATAGAACTTTCGGCGATAATGGAAATGTTCTATGTCTGTGCTGTCCAATACAGTAGCCACTAGCCACAGATGGCTACTGATCACTTAAAATGTGGCTACAGTGACTAAGGAACTGGATTTTTAACTTTATTTTAATTTGTGGCTACCATATTAGACAGCTCACTTCTGTTTTGTTTGGTTGTTATTGTTAGTTTTTTTGAACAAGGTTTCTTTTTTTCTTTCTTTTCTTTCTTTTTTTTTTTTTTTAAGACAGAGGTTTGGCCAGGCGCAGTGGCTCAAGCCTGTAATCCCAGCACTTTGGGAGGCTGAGGTGGGTGGGTCGAGACCATCCTGGTCAACATGGTGAAACCCCGTCTCTACTAAAAATACAAAAAATTAGCTGGGCATGGTGGTTCCTGCCTGTAATCCCAGCTACTCAGGAGGCTGAGGCAGGAGAATTGCTTGAACCCAGGAGGTGGAGGTTGCGGTGAGCCGAGATCGCGCCATTGCACTCCAGCCTGGGTAACAAGAGCGAAACTCCGTCTCAAAAAAAAAAAAAAGACAGAGTTTTGCTCTTGTCATCCAGGCTGGAGTGCAGTGGCGCAATCTCAGCTCACTGCAACCTCTGCCTCCTGGGATCAAGCAATTCTCTTGTCTCAGCCTCCCGAGTAGCTGAGATTACAGGCGCCCGGCACCACGCCTGGCTAATTTTTGTATTTTTGGTAGAGACAGGTTTTCACCATGTTGGCCAGGCTGGTCTTGAACACCTGATCTCAGATGATCAGCCTGTCTTGGCCATCCAAAGTTTTGGGATTACAAGTGTGAGCCATGGTGCCCAGTTTGAACAGAATTTCACTCTGTTGCCCAGGCTGGAAGAAATATCATTTTCTTGCAGACAGTTCTTCTCTGCTTGTTATTTTATTGTTATTTTTTGAGACAGTCTCACTCTACCACGCAGGCTGGAGTGCAGTGGTATGATCTTGGCTCACTGCAACCTCTGCCTCCTGGGTTCAAGCCTCAGGATTCTCCTGCCTCAGCCTCCTGAGTAGCTGGGATTACAGGCATATGCCACCACATCCAATTTTTGTATTTTTAGTAGAGACAGGGTTTTACCATGTTAGCCAGGCTGTTCTCAAACTCCCACTCACCTCATCCTCCCAAAGTGCTGTGATTACATGCATGAGCCACCATGTCCAACCAGCAAGTTTCTTTGAAAGAAATAATGAATGAATGAATGAATGTTAACTGTGTGGGCCTAGCACCCATCCCTCTTCTTATCCTTTCTCTTCCCTTATAGCTTTAGGTTCTCAAACTTGGCTGGGTTCTGATTACCAAGGAAACCTGCTGGGATCTCAGTGGATGGGGAAGGGGAGCTGTCTGAAGTTTCCTTGGTTTGAGGCCCTGAGGACTGGCCTGACTTAAGGAAGAACAGAGGGTGCTGGGAAGGAGAGGGCATAGCTCTGCCTGGACAGATTGAGGCAAGGGAGCTTTTTCTGGGCCCAGCCACATTGGATTACATGATCTCTGTGAGATAAGCAGCCCTGGACAGAAATCAGAAGCCCTGGGTTCTCTCCCCACTTTGGCCAATGATTCACCAGATTCACCTGTGCTTCTGGGACTCAGTTACCTTTTAAAATAGGGATCAGGCTGGGCCTAATGGCTCATGCCTGTAATCCCAGCACTTTAGAAGGCTGAGGCAGGTGGATCACAAGGTCAGAAGATCGAGACCATTCTGGTTAACACAATAAAACCCCGTCTCTACTAAAAATACAAAAAATGGCCGGGCGCGGTGGCTCAAGCCTATAATCCCAGCACTTTGGGAGGCCGAAGTGGGTGGATCACGAGGTCAAGAGATCGAGACCATCCTGGTCAACATAGTGAAACCCTATCTCTACTAAAAATACAAAAAATTAGCTGAGCATGGTGGCGCGTGCCTGTAATCCCAGCTACTCAGGAGGCTGAGGCAGGAGAATTGCCTGAACCCAGGAGGCAGAGGTTGCAGTGAGCCGAGATCGCGCCATTGCACTCCAGCCTGGGTAACAAGAGTGAAACTCCGTTTCAAAAAAAAAAAAAAAAAAAATACAAAAAATTAGCCCAGCACAGTGGTGTGCACCTGTAATCCCAGCTACTCGGGAGGCTAAGGCAGAAGAATTGCTTGAACCCAGGAAATGGAGGTTGCAGCGAGTTGAGATCATGCCACTGCACTCCAGCCTGGTGACAGAGTGAGACTCCGTCTCAAAAAAAAAATTAAAAAATAAATAAATACATTAAATTAAATTAAATAGGGATCAGATGCCCTCATGTGGTCGGTCTCTTCTACTTCAAGATGCAGAATTCTTCCATCTTGCTCCCTGCCAGACTATTAGGGCCTTGAGAGCAAGGCCTGAGTCTGTGCATCTCTGCATCCTCCTGCCCATCTACCCTGCTTAGAGGCTTAGAGGAAGCTGCCTGTCCAGTAATTACAGGCCAAGGTTCAGCTGCCCTCTAGGGGACCAAAGTGACAGTGGCCATCTCCTATCTACATGTATGGTGCTTCCCCATCAAAGGAGAGATCCATAGGCCTGGAATTCGCCTCAGAGAACAGAGGCCTCCACTCAACCACAAAACCATTGTGGTGGCCTCCCAGACAAGTGGCATAGGCTCGGGAGTCTTTCAAGCCTGGGTTTGTTACAATTATGTGATTTTAAACAAGTCAGTGTCCCTGAGCTCCCATTCCAACTGTAAAACGGAGATTATATCAGTCAGGATAAGTTAAGTTATACTGCAGTAACAACCACTCCCAAATCCCAGTGGCTGATTAACAACACATTGATTATTATTATTATTATTTTTTCTGAGACAGGGTCTCACTCTGTCACCTAAGCTGGAGTGTAGTGGCACAATCACAGCTCACTGTAGCCCCAACCTACCCAGGCTCAGGTGATCCTCCCACCTCAGGTTTCCGAACAGCTGGGACTACAGGCATGTGCCATCATGCCCAGCTAATTTTTCTTTTTCTTTCTTTTTCTTTTTTCTTTTTTTTTTGAGGTGGGAGATGGAGTTTTGTTCTTGTTGCCCAGGCTGGAGTGCAATGGCATGATATCAGCTCACTGCAAATTCGCCTCCCAGTTTCAGCCTCCCAAGTAGCTGGAATTACAGGCATGCGCCACCACACCCGACTAATTTTGTATTTTTAGTAGAGATGGGGTTTCACCATGTTGGTCAGGCTGGTCTCGAACTTCTGATCTCAAGTGATCCACCTTCCTCAGCCTCCAAAGTGCTAAGATTACAGGCGTGAGCCACCGTGCCTGGCCTAACTTCTCTAAGTTTTGTAGAGACAGGGTTTTCCATGTTACCCAGGCTGGTCCCTAACTCCTGGCTTCAAGCAATCCTCCCACCTCAGCCTCCCAAAGTACAGGGACTATAGGCAAGCCACCATGTCCGGCTGCAACAATACATTGATTCTCATCCATGTCTTGTGTCCACAGTAATTTGAGTCAGCTAAGGCTTTGCTCTGTGCCCTCTTACCTCTAGGACCCAGGCTGCCTTTTAGTGCATTGCTAGTCATGTGGCAGAGGTAAGGAGGGAATGACAAATTGTGGGCTAGCCATTAAATGCTTCAGCCTGTACTAACTTCTAATTACAACTAATTGGCCAGAACTAGTCCTAAGGCCTCACCCATCACAAGGAAGCAGGGAAGTTTAATCCTACCATGTGCTGACCGTGGGAGAGCCAGAAACTTTTGGTGAACAGTAGTGAGGACCCACTTGCACAGTTGCTATAAGAATGCAATAGAGGCCGGGCGCGGTGGCTCAAGCCTGTAATCCCAGCACTTTGGGAGGCCGAGGTGGGTGGATCACGAGGTCAAGAGATCGAGACCATCCTGGTCAACATGGTGAAACCCCGTCTCTACTAGAAATACAAAAAATTAGCTGGTCATGGTGGCACGTGCCTATAATCCCAGCTACTCAGGAGGCTGAGGCAGGAGAATTGCCTGAACCCAGGAGGCGGAGGTTGCGGTGAGCCGAGATCGTGCCATTGCACACTCCAGCCTGGGTAACAAGAGCGAAACTCTGTCTCAAAAAAAAAAAAAAAAA